GTGAAGTTACTGTTCTTTGAACAGTGTGTGGTGTTTTTTGTCCATCAATTTCCAAAAAATTCCGTCTCCCTCCACTTTGAATCAGTTTGCTTAGTGCTGGAACTTTGAGTCGGCGGGCCGCCCGAAGCTCGAATTTTTTTGGGCTCGGGCGGGCCGGCCCACTTCCCGCCCGCCCAAGCAAGAAATTCAGGTTCGGGCTCGGGCAGCCCGAATTTGACATGTCCACCCTTGCCCGCCGCCGTCTAACCACCGTATACCGCCGTCCGCCGGGATTTTTTTTAATTTTTCCGACCAAGCCCGAACCAAAAATTGGGTGTGCCCGAATTGCCCGACCCGAAGCCCGAATTTTTGAATTTTTTTGAATTTTGCCTGAATTTTTCCCGCCGGCCCGAATTGCCCGACCTGCCCGAGGTGCCCGAATTGCCCGAATACCCGAAAACGGCTAGTTTTTTGAATTTTGTCCGAATTTTGCCTGAAAATTTGAGTTGCCTGAAAACCCGAAAACGGCTATTTTTTGAATTTTTACCCGAATTCTACCCGAAAACCCGAGTTCGTGTGTTCATTTCAAATTGTAATATATATATAAATATAATATATATATATAAATTGTCATACTAATATATATACGAATACAAGCCCGCGGCCCGTTCAAGGTGAAATTCGGGCTCAGGCGGGCGACCCGAAAATCTCGGACGGGTCGGGTTCAGGCTCGGGCAAATCCTCGGGCTTTTCGGGCGGTCGCGGGCGGCTCGTCCAAAGTTCCAGCACTAAGTTTGCTCCTTACGTGATGTGATTTTACGATTTTGCCCTCAGCTTTTTCCTCCTTCATTTGTTCTTGGTTGGGTTGTTTTGGTCATTTTTGTAACTTCTTTTTAGCCCCTCAATTTCCAAAAAATTACATCTGTATCCCTCTACTTTGAAATTGTTTGCTCTTATGTGATGTGATTTTACGATTTTGTCCTCACTTTTTACTCCTTCATTTGTTCTTGGTTGGGCCATTTTGGTCATTTCGGTAGAAATGAAGCTTTTAGGCTTTTTTTGCCCTCTTTTCTCCATTTGGCATGCCTCTGAAATATTTGTGTTTCTTTGTTCTCTTCGTCTGGATCTATTCTGGTCTTTTGGGTTCTCCTGCTTTTTTTTCCTTTCATTTTTGGGTTCTTCTGCTTTCTTTTCCTTTCGTTTTCTTCCCTTCTCAATAATTTCTTTTTTCTCTCAATAAATATGGTTTTGTTTCTTTCTTTCTTTTCCTTTCGTTTTCTTCCATTCTCGATGTTTTCTTTCTTCTTGCAATGATATAGGGTTTCGTTTTGTGATTTTTTTTTGGTTTCGTTCTTTATCTTAAGGTTTCGTTGTCTTTTTTTTTCTTCGTCCTTCTGCCTCTTCTCTTTGGTCGTTCGGTAGAAGCTCTCAATAATTTGTTTTTTTTTTTGTTTCATCCTCTAATTTAGGGTTTCGTCATTTGATATTTTTTCTTAGTCGTTTCGCCTCTTCTTTGTGGTCATTCCGCCTTTTCTCTTTGGTTTCATCCTTTAATTTACGGTTGCATCGTTTGATATTTTTTTGTTATTGCTGATTGTAATTTAGGGTTTCGTTTTGTTTGTTGCTTTCTTTTTCTTGCGTTTTCTTCCCTTCTCCATGTTTTCTTTCTTCTTTCAATAATATAGGGTTTCGTTCTCTTTTTTTTTTCTTCGTCCTTCCACCTCTTCTCTTTGGTTGTTTGGTAGAAGCTCTCAAAATTTTTATTTTTTTTGGTTTCATCCTCTAATTTAAGGTTTCGTTGTTTTAAATTTTTTCTTGGTCATTTCACCTCTTCTCTGTCGTCATTCCGCCTCTTCTCTTTGGTTTTGTCCTCTATTTTAGGGTTTCATCGTCTGATTTTTTTTTTTAATTTTTGTAATTGCCTATTGTAATTTAGGGTTTCGTGCTCTGATTTTTTTTCTGTTTTTTTAACATGGGCTTTTGGAATTGGTTTGGGTTTCAATTTTTTAATCGCATCCGCAGTTGAAATTTAGATATTTCATAGGGCTTTTATGATAATAAGGTATATGAATTTTGTATATTTTTTACAGTTATTGTTGGGATTTTTTTTGTTGGTTTTTTTTTTTAGTTTTTTCTTTCTTCTTTTTTCGGAGATCTTTTTCCCTTTCTCTTTTTTTTTCTGGTTATTTTTTCTAAATTTTTTTCCTCTTTTTTCTTATTTATGCATTTAGGAATTTTAACAAAGTTCCTTTTTTTCCTTTTTTTAAATTTTGGTTTTTTTTCTGTAATATTATTAATTGACGTAATTATTTACTTTTTTTACCCTGGGTATATTTTGGTTGTTTCATCTTCTGGGAGTTTTGTTCATGATATGGTTCTTTCTTTCAGTTTCTGGAAAGTTGTTACTATGCTATCGTGTTTATTTTGTTTTGACACGTGTTTTTTTCATGCTACAATTATGTACAACATATATCTCATTTTTTACTGTCTGTTGATTATTAGTTCTGTTTTCGAATGGTTTTCATGCTTCGTGACACATGTTGTTAACTAACTAGTTGATTTTTGTTTGTAGGATTTCTTATCGGACAATGAGCAGAAATTTGTTCTCTTTGTACATATATAATGTGTTTTATTTTGTTATTACAATTTCTCACTTTCTCTCTGTTTTCATTCTTCAACTATTATAATTTATCCTATTCTACCTTTTCTGTTTTCCTGTTCTTTAAAAATTTTATTGATATTAGGCTTCTATTAATATTTTTACTGTGTTTTGCATCTTCGGTTCATCTCTATGCACTGGTCAGTTTTGGATATTAGGTTATTCTGTTTGCTTCTTTCTGTTTTAGAGTTTTGATTGTTCTGCTAGGTCTACTCTGTCCATTTTCCTTCTTCGGCTGAGGTATTTATTTCTTAATTCTTACATGTGTTTCTTAATATTATTAGGATTTATTATCTGAATTTGTTCAGTTGTTAATTTATTTGTTTACTTTATTATGTTGTTATGATTATGTTATTATTATTTGGATGTCATTGTTTAATATTTAAGTTATTTAAGTTATTGTTATTTAAGTATAAGTTAGGTTTGTATTTTATTTCTTTTGTTGTTGCGTGAAGAGTCTGTTTTTTCTTAGGGTTTTATTCTTATTTGGTGATGATGATGTATTTTTCTTTTATTGTTGCTATGTATTGAGTAACTGCTAGTAATGATTTGGTAGTTTTTGATGTTGCTTGAATTATTTGGGATTTATGCTTTTATTTTCTTCTTCTCCAACTTTTTTTTGACCTATACATGTTCATTTGTTGTTTAATATTTAAGTTACTTAAGTTATTTAAGTTATTGTTATTTAAGTATGAGTTAGATTTATAATTTATTTCTTCTGTTGTTTTGTGAACAATTTATTTTTCCTTAAGGTTTTATTGTTCTTGGGTGATGATGATGTATTTTCCTTTAATGTTGTCATGTATCGAGTAACTGTTAATAATAATTTGGTAATTTTTGATGTTGTTTGGATTATTTAGGATTTATGTTGTTATTTTTTCTTCTCAAACCTTTTCTTGACCATCACATGTTCATTTATAAGTGTCTAAGATTAGGTTAAATATTTTTAGTTATTATTATACTATAATACTAAAGAAGATTTGGAAGTTAGTGTTCTTTGAACACTGATCGGTCTTGTTTGCTCCTCATTTTTCAAAATTCCGAACTATAGATTGTATGAAAAACAACATTTTTTTTCTTAAACAGGTATAAAATTAATGTACACATTGAAAATAACACAGGAAGAATAAATGCAGTCATGTTCGGTAAAACAGTGCAATCTCTCATAAATAAAGCTTAAAACAGTGCAATCTCTCATAAATAAAGCTTACTCTACACTCACTTTTGAGGAAGGCAACACCAATCATTATATAATTCCTCCCATCCTAAAACAAGTCAGAGGAATATTAAAAATATTTGTTATCTAATTTTGTAATTGAGGTGCATTCGTCGATACAATTATTTTAAGAACTTTCAATGATAAACCTTTGTTGTACTTACCTCCAAGAAGATGTCCATTAATTTTAAAACTACTTACAATCAAGAATGTTGAACCAAAATAAATTACTATTCATGTCATTTTTTCTTTTTTTAAATCTTAACATGTGTTTGGTATGAGGATTCGTGTCATGATTTGAATCATAGTTTGTGGTTCGTTATAGTATTTTCTCTCATAAAAAATATACGTAAATTGAAAATAGTTATGAATCATGATTTTAAATTCGTGTAAACCAAACGTACATTTAATATAACGTTAATTATAATATAATAAAATTTATTATTATTACAGTCATCATCATTAACTTCTTTCAATATAATTTGAGTCAACTCCTATTTGAAAAAAAAACCCATTAAGTAATACCATTCTTTATATATTAAAACAATTATTTCATTAAAAATAAAAAAATTATTACCATCGATTATAATATATTAATAACTAATATTTTTTTTTTGTCTTTTTTTTTATTGTAACTCTGAGGAAATGAAGAAAAATTAAAGAAGAATAATCAATAAGTCATACAAAATATATATGTAAATATATATATATATATATACAAATATGTAAATAAATATGTATATATATGTAATAAGCTTACAAGATACTAAATTTGATTGTATACCTTCTTTTGTGATAACTTTTGAATATCATTTTCATATTTTTTTTAATAAAATATTTAACAACATAATCATCATTTTATAACTAAATATTATATTATTTACTCTAACTTTATCATAAAATAATTAAGGTTTCGTTCATTTTACTAATTTAAATTTAAAATATGAATTTTATTACAGTAAAAATTATTTAAAAATAATCATATTTAATTTTTTTACTACAATAAAATTTTTTTATATAAAATAACATATCAATTTAAATTAAAATTATAAATAAACATTCGTCTAATAGTACGGATAACTCACTGGTTAATACTATTTTGAGTAGTAATCTTTGTTTTGGTCCATGTATTCTTACAGAGGCTTACCCCTTTCAACGTGCTCTTTAGACGACATCCCATCAACGTGGCAAGAAAATAGCCTCTATCTCCATCACGAGAACAAACGCCACGTGTATTATAAATAATCAAGTATTTTCAAGCTCAGTTTTTGTGTCCAACAACCAATCAAAATGCAAAACTTCTCAATCCAACGGTTAGAACTCGAGGACCACAATAACCAACTAATACTACAGGGGCAAAATAAAACTCCCCCACCAAGAATTTTACGTTATTCAGTTGAAGAATGGCTTCTCGGAGTTTAAGCTTACTTCAAACGACAACTCCGTACATTTCTTCGAGAACCCATATCGATTTCAGTTCCAAATCCAAGGTTGTCGTGTTGGGTTGTCAAGGAATAGCAAAACCCAGAAAGCTTTGCTTCTCGGTTCGCGCAATGGGCTCCTCTGCTTCTTCTTCTTCTTCGAAACCTGAGAGCACTCAAGGTCCCCCTTTTTGCCCATTTTGCTTAAAATTCTCAAATGGATTTGTTAATTACATTTCTCATAGTTCTTTCATTTTTATTGAAATGGTTGAAAGTGCTTTGATTATTTTCTCTCTTTTTGTGTGTGGTGACCATAGAGCTAAGATAAAGTTGCTCGTTCTTATGGGTTGATGATTTAGGCCAACTTAATTTTTTTTCTTTCTTTTATGTTTTGGTTATGAACAGTTAATTCGCAATTTACATAGTTAGGTGATTGTTTGATCAAAGCCCTAATCTTTTAAGAGCAATTCAATAAAGAAATACAAGAAAGCATAAAAGAAATTTATTGTAGTTCACCTTTAACGTGAGAGTTGCGTCTACTTTCAGTAGCTGCAGAATTTCAGCGTGACGATGATGGGTTTCCTAGCGGAATGTCAAATTAAACCATAAATTGTCGTTATTGAGTATAGTAGTAATAAGGGTCTCTCAATTAATAAAAACACAAAATACTCAAGAATTAAGCAAGAAAAATAGGAAAATTAATCGGAAAATAATATCAAATTGCGCACTTATTAGATGACGACCAAGATTACAAGAGAATAACACGCCTCACACCTCGTAGTTCTCTATGTTTTTTTCCCCTAATTCCCCTAACCTTAATTCCCAACTGGCGCCCCCCTAATATGAGGTCGATCCACATGCTAGAGAATTAGACCTTGTACTCGGAAGAATTTTAAATTTCCATTTTTTGTTAATTGATTCTTTCATCGATTGAAACATCATATTGACACATGATGCAGATAGTTGAAGAGCTGAACTTGCAATTCAAACACATATTAGCCACTACAAATGATTTTTTTGTTTTTTTTGTTTTTTTAATATGCGGAGGCAGGTTCAGTTGACTTTAAATCTATTAGTGATGAAGAATGGAAGAAGCGGCTTACAGGGGAACAGTTTTACATCACTCGTCAAAAAGGAACGGAAAGGGCATTCACAGGGTATGAATATGATTATCTTTCAAATTTACATGCTTCTAAAGACGTTGCTCGCAAGTCTCTAAAATTTGATCATTTATAGTATTATTGCTAAATTTTTTACTTTGGTTGCTGAATAATGCAAGTGATTATGGGACTCAAAGTTAGAAAACCAACCAGATTAATTCTCCATGAATAGATCTTATTTTAATTGATCCTATTAGTCAATATTATCCCTCCATAGATTGAACTCTCTCATAGACTTGACCTTTGAAGTTTGATTAATTTTCCGGTCTGTTCTCATTTATTTCACATTTGTTTATAGGGTTTGTACAATGATCAATAAGAAAAACTTGTATGAAACACTGATTGTCCTGTCCGTGAAACCGTTTGCGAAACAAGAATCTGAACAAACGTCCTGCACCAGAACAATATTTTGAAATTTTGTTTGAAGTGTTTAAATGAACAAGAGCCGGTCAATACTCTTGGTGCGTTTTATTTATAGGGAATCCGAAAAATATTATAAAGTACTCATGTTGCTACACTATGAATGTTACGCCCTTCAGCTTGGTAAACCAGTAAAAAGGCAAAGATTAATGAGTTGCTTAAAGGCTAAATGGACTTGAGAAGCCGCTTTGGCTCCACACAAGCAAAAAAGATAACTAATCATATTAGCAGAATGGCACTTTTGGTCAATCTACTTCATATCTCTTTAATTATGTTACTTCTTATTTCTATTCAGAGAGTATTGGAACACCAAAACTCCTGGAACTTACCATTGCATGTGTTGTGATACACCTTTATTTGAGTAAGTATTCATTTCTACTGAGGTTCATTTTAACTCAAAATTATTGCTTGTACAAGGCTCTTTTTTTGTTTTTGTTTTTTGTCAGACTGATTAATTTGTACATTCTTCTGCAGATCATCTACTAAATTTGACAGTGGAACCGGTTGGCCATCTTACTACCAGCCTATAGGAAACAATGTGAAGTCAAAGTTAGACTTGTCGATCATTTTCATGCCTCGCGAGGAAGTTCTTTGTGCTGCTTGTGATGCTCATCTTGGCCATGTCTTCGATGATGGACCACCCCCCACCGGGAAGCGTTATTGTATCAATAGGTATATGTCATCGAAAATTCGTATCCAGCGTTGAGATTGACTTTCTTTCTCTGCCACATTTCGCCATCTTCATAGTGATACTTTAGCGCATCTTTGATGTTTTGTATTAACTATCTTTGCAGTGCCTCTCTGAAACTTAAACCAAAGTAGGATGAAAGCCAGGAAAGCGGTCCTTGCGAGCAGAATACAAGAATGTGGCTAAGATTATTAGGTGAAGCACTTCGGAATATCTTCACTTCCTGCCTTTTATGGTTTTTACCTCTGAAAAGACTGTGAATGATAATTATTCTATTTTTTGTTCTTTTTGGCAATAACAAAGTCTAAAAGTTATCATAATACAAGCTTATGGTTTTATGTATATTGGCTCTAAAGCTTGATGGTTAGTGTTAATAATATTATTATTTTCTGAGAAAAAAAAAGTCCTATTACTTTTTGATAGACATATGACCATAATATTATTAGAATTTTAGGGGAGGGAGATGAGAAGAAAAGTTAAGAAGAAGAATTACACTTTATAAGATATTGGATTTCATCTTAAAAGGTTAACATATATAGTTATATTGTTATAATTATGTTTGTATTTAGATGATGTGAGATTCAAGTATTTTACCCTTAACACGTCTCCGTAAGATGGTGCTCCGTTAGGAGTCATCAATCTTGTATTTTGATAGATCAACCCAGCTCGTTTGAGCAATAGGCTCTAATGCCGTATTAGAGTTTTATGAGAGATGAGAAGAAAAGTGAGGGAGAAGAATTGCATTTTATAAGGTATTGGGCTTCGATCTTAAAAAGTTAACCTATTTAAGTGAGGTGACCTAATATCCTTATATGGCTATAATTATGTTTGTATTTAAACAATGTGGGACTCGGGTATTTTACCCTTAATACGTCCCCGCAAGATGGTGCTCCGTTAAGAGTCACTAATCTTATATTTTTGATGGATCGACCTAGCCCGTTTGTGCAATAGGCTCTGATATCATATTAGAGTTTTAGATGAGGAAGAAGAATTACACTTTATAAAGTATTGGGCTTCCATCTTAAAAAGTTAATATATTTAAGTGAGATGATCTAATATCCTTATATGGTTATAATTATGTTTGTATTTAAACGATGTGGGATTAGAGTATTTTACCTTCAACACGCCCTTGCAAGACTGTGCTCAATAGATTGGTGACTCATAACGGAACACCATTTTGTGGGGGCGTGTTAAGGGTTCAATACCAGAGTCTCATATTATCTAAACATAAGCATTACTACAACCATATAAGGATATTGGATCACTCCACTTAAATAAGTTAACCTTTTAAGATAAAAGCCCAACATTTTATAAAGTGTAATTTTTTTCCCTCACTTCTCTCCTCAAACTCTTATAAATATGACTATCTTTCGCACTCTCTTGTGGTACCCTCAAGTATTGTTGTCTAGCTTGTGAGAAATACCCAATGCAAAATAGAAAAAGAAAAAGAGAAGCTTAATGTTAAAGTTCTATTGCAATTGTAAACAAAACTTAATTAATAAACTAATAAAGAGAGGTTTATGTAGCCCTACAAACATAATGACAAAAGATTAATCTACCCTTACTAATAAAGAAAAATAACCAAATAATAAATCCTAACTCTGAAATAAAGATTAATACCGTCAACATCTCATCTCAAACTCATGATGCAACTACAAGAAGCGTCAAGAGTTTGCCAACTGAAAAACAAAAAACAAAACTAAAAAGTTGAAACACGACTTCATAAACAATTATGCAACTTTATACGTATGCCAATGCTGATACCAATGTCGATACCAATGCCGATGTCAATGCCAATGCTAATGCAAATATCAATGTCAATGCCGATGCCAATGCAAATGCCAATACCAATGCCGATACTAATGTCAATGCCAATATCAATGCTAATGCCAATACCAAAGCCCAACATGGGCCAATCAAAGAAGATAAATAATACAAAAGAGATGGAGAATGCAACCAATCAAAGAGGAGGGGGAGAGTGCAATGTTAATACTCAATATGGGTCAATCAAAGGAAGAGAAGAAAGAATGCAAATACCATTACCCAATATGATAGTGCAAGAGTCCAATCGGAAGTGAATAACCGATTGTACAACCACCGATTGGAATCTAATAATTAGACTCAATCAAATTATATAATCTCTAAAATGCCCGTCTCTATGCAATTTTTTTTTAATCCATCTGTCAAAAAACAAAACCAACGCTAGCATATACTATTGTACCACCCTTGCTTCTCCAATTTCAATCCCAAGCCTTTTTTTTGTTTTGCTGCCATCCTTTATTTAATTTCTTCAATGAACAAAAGCCAACAAAAAACTTGTAACCAGCTCGGATGAAAGGTCAGTTTGGGGTTGTTGTACTTTTGAAATAATTATTGTGCTTTTAATAGAAACATTACTTTTATTTAAAGTAGAAGTATAATTTAAAAATTACACATTATAATTTCTCAAAATAATTTAAAAAGTATATTGATTTATGTACAAAGTATTTTTGTGCACCTACCTAACACTATAATTGCATTGTTTATTATGCAAAATACTTTTAGGAGTTTCAAAAGCAATCCCAAACACACTCAAAACAATAAACACCAAGCAATCGCACGAATTCCAAGACCACTTCACCAAAATCTCATTAATGCCATATTGCTCAATTGCGCATCCAATAACATGAGTTAGCAAGGACTTAATTTCCAAAACCATACGGCTCTAATACCATGTGAGAAATACCCAATGCAAAATAAAAAAGAAAATAAAAGAAAAGAGAAGCGTAATGCCAAAGTTCTATTGCAATTATAAAAAAAAAAAAAACCTAATTCATTGAATAAATTAATAAAGAGGAGTTTATATATCCCTACAAGCATAATAGCAAAAGACTAATATACCTTTACTAATAAAGAAAAATAATAAAATAACAATCCTAACTCTAAAATAAAGATAAATATCGTTAACATAGCTATCTACTATTCTCTTCTTTAAAAGGAGAAGAAAGGTATCATCTAGGAACAAATCATGGTAATGGTAATGGTACTTATTGCCATATAGAAACAAATAACATAAAATTCAAGTAAAATTTGATTGAAAATTTGGGGTGAAAATGTCGTTTTCAGGAAATTTGAATTTAGTGGCTAGATTTACAAATAGAGTTATTGATAAATTTCATATTTAATAAGTAAATTTGACCATTATTCTAAAAATTCTTAAATACGTATCAAAATAATAAAAGAAACATAACCTACTTATTATCACAATCTTTTCAAAAAGAAAAAAGGAGAAGAGAGAAATACTGCTTTTTAAGAGGGAAATACAAATTAATAGCATAAATTTTGAGGTGTGGGAGTTAATAGCATATTTTATACAGACTATTTAGAAAGTCTAAAAATGCTCATGTATCTCATCTTACCTTGCCATTTGTTACAATTAATTTGACAAAAATCATTAATTACAGAAATTGTAGTAAATAGATATTTTTGAATCTAAATTAAGTAAATAGTATATTTTAAATCTATTTAAAATAAATAGTAGTTTATTGTATAAATGCTTTATTTATAACTGGTATTTTACGTGGTAACAAATCTTTATTTACATAAAAAGAATCTTTTAGTTTAAAATACATGTCTTAAATGAAGCATTTACGTGGTAAATTATTGTTTATTTCAATTAGTTTTAAAATCTTTACTTAATCTAATTTTATAAATATGTTATTTATTGCATTCTCACTTAATTTTATTTACTATTATTTCTAAAAAAAAGAGAAAAAGTAGACAAATGTCACTCGGAAAACATTAATCTTAAATTTTTACCCTTTATACTTGATTAAGTCTCTTTAATTAAACAACTATATTAATAAAAAAATACTAATAAAGTATAAAAATTTTAAAACTATCCATTCAACGTTCATCGTGAGTTCACTAATTTTCTTTAAAAAAAAAAGGGTCTCAGTTGGGTTAAGGCCCTTCTACATTTCAGGCCCATTTTGCGGCGCCGCGCAATGGCGCTTTGTATATTGAAGCAGTTGTATTCACTACAAACGTCCTTCAACTACGTTGTTTGTACCCAATAAACTATCTGCACGTCAGCAACTTATTCTCCATTTTAGTCAATTTTGCACTCATACTACCTTCAACAATTGGACAATTCCAATTCTCTTGTAGTCCGCAACGTATTCGATCATCACTCGTTTGAAGGCATTTGCAGAGCAGTCCCCACCAACCGTCAGTTAAGAACGGTGTCACTGAAGAACTGCTTTTCTCCTCTCTCTCTCTCTCTCTCTCTCAATCACTTTCTCTCTCTTCAAGTTTTTTGAGGTTTCACTCTCAGAGACGAAACGAGCTTTTAGAGAGAGAATCAATGGCTGATGAAGTAGCTTTAGAGAGAGAGAATTACTCGCTGCTGAAGAACCTCAGAGTCGAAATTGAAGGAGAAAAAGAGAAGACTTTCTCTCTCTGCTTTTGGCTTTACCTTGTCAACTCCACTACATTGCCTCTTTCAATCCTCCAAAAGGTCTTTCATTTTTTGTTTATTTGCTTTCTAGTTCTGTTTTTAAGGTGTTTTAATGAATACCCATTTCGCTTTTTCTCTGTTTGATGGATTATAAAGTGTTTGTGGAATTAATATTGGTTTAGAATTATTATACTTTTGGTGTGTTTTTCTTGTCTTTTTTTTCTTTTAATTTCAATTTGGTTTTGTAGTCTTATTATTGCATAGATGAAAACTTGATTCATATTGCACTTGATAGTTGTTTGTTTCAACTAGAATCTTTTCTTGTGAAGATAATGTTTTATTAAGGAAAGGTCATTGTATTGGTGCAATGAGAAAATGTGTTAGAAATATTGTGTACTTTTTGTATCTTCTATCATCTTTAATTTGTCAAGTATGCAGGTACACCCAGATGTCACAGGCAATTCTCCTTTTCTTGTCATACATGAAAAGAAAGTGAAGCTTTTTCCATTGCTTCCCTCGCGAAAAGAAGATCCGGAATCTGAAGTTCCACATGCATCTGTAGAGGTCGAGTTCGAGTTTTCGCAGGAAAAGTGGGTTCATTTTGGCTGTGAGGTATGTTTTACTGATAAGTTGGAGAATTAGTAAATCAGTTGCTGTTTTGCTTCCGAGTTCCAGGAATGTGATTCTTGATGGAAGTATATGGTATGTGAAATGATCTTGTTAGGGTGTTATAGCTTTTTGCTATGTGAAGGTTAATATAGAAATGACTTAATCTGTGTTCATAAAAAAAATTTGTTTTTCTTGACCCTTTTTTTTTCATTTCTTAAGATATTTAAATGCCTATTTGACTTTTGAATTTTCAGTGTTTCAATGATGCCGGTACCTTTTCCATGGTGATTGCGGGAAGGGGAATTTATAAGAACCATAGTTTCAGCATTCATGTTAATGTCAACCGAAGAGTTGATCTTGTGCACTTGCACTTGATTTCGAAGCTTCTAGGACTTTTGTGGATTGTGGTTGAGGATGTCTGATGTGGGAGGATTTAGCTATATTAGTCGTTATTTTTAGTTTCATTGTCCTTTGCTAAGGTTAATCAACTTAGCTTTAATTTTGTTATTTGTTTATTGTTATCTGTCTAGTATGTCATTTGTCTTAGTATGTATTTTGTAATTGTTTAATGTGTGAATTAGAAATAGACACATTAGCTATTGCAATAGTATGAATTGATGAGACTTGAATATTGAAACATTGACATTATTGTTGTGTTTTTTCTCCAATTTTTGGGGGTTTTCCCCTCTTGCCATGGATTTGGCTTATATTTTCCCATTCCGCTGCATCGCAGTCTTAGAAGAAAAAATTATTTGGTTATAGGGTATCCGTTTCTGCCTCAACAATCCAGTTAAGTTATTTTAGAAAAAAATTCTGGAGATCATAGAAGCAAATGCGCTATGCATATGGTACCTAATGCATATCTTTGTATCTAATAGTGGTTTTCTGAAGTAAATGCACTATGCATAGCAATTAGCTCATATAATTTAGTCATTGTGTTGCTATTAGTATTCGCTTTTCTGGTTCTCTCTTGGATTTGAGATGCTTACAGTTGATGTATCAACTTTAGGTTTCAACAGATTTTTTACGACTGCACATTGATGGAGAGATTGTTGGAGAGAAGTCTTTGTCTTCTGCACTCGAAACAGATTCCAACTTTAATGGTTTTGTGAAGCTCACTTTGGTTGGTGGAGCGGGTGACGACAGCAGGGATCAGGGATACATTTACAATCTGAAAACTTTTGCTACCACTTCGTCTATTAAGGATCACTGTGCTAAGGTGTGTAGCAGAGAACATGGTTTTCTTTTTTCAAAATTTCTTTTATATTGCGATCTTGCAGTCCAAAATAGTTTACTCAATCTCTATCATGAATAGATTCTTCTCATGACGCAGGATCCACCTGTACAACTATCTATTGATAAATCCTCTGCCTCTGAGATTGAAGAAGGCGATGGTGGTGTTTGGAGTATTGTTGGTGGCAAGGTCAGAGCGAATGTTTTCATGTTCTCTTTTTGCTTAAACTAGACCTTACTTGGTTACAACCAGATCAAAATTGAAATTATTTATTAAAAGTAAGATGTTTATATAAGTTTATATATGCTAGTCTTAATATGCTATTTAAAATCTGATATGGTTTTGGGTGGAAAGACAAGGTTTCTGATTCATGACTTTAATATGGTTGTTCTTTTAGGTTCATTTTATGATTATTTGTAAGAAGCAAATACCAGCAATATCACTAATTTTTAATATAGTTGTTCTTTTAGGTTCATTTTGTGACAGGTGTTAATTTCCTATACCCTTTCTTGATTTTTCAAAATTGATTGTTAGCATTTGATGATAAATAGATGCTCTTTTCGTTAACAAATTGTCAAATACCTTGCACAATCTTATGATACCGCAGTGTCATACATTTTGATCTAACATTGCTAATTTAGGTTTCTTCTTAAGCACCTTGCACTTCTGTTTCATATCACAGGCATCTTGCCGCAGGAATTTTTCTTTGGATGTTGTTTTCATTGATACCTCTGGCCATCCTATAAGAGAGGAAATGGAGGTTTTCATCTGACCTTTCTCATTATATGCTTCCTTTCTGTGTATTGTTCATTAAAGCTTTTGTTGTACTTTTTTGCAATCACTTCTAATCTTTTATTGACAGGTTGTTGCTTCACTTGTGTATCTTGATAACGGAGCACCTGTTGAGAGAACAAGTGACGGGGAGGCTCCTCTGTTGGCTAGCTATGACGGACTCGAATTTACTTCTTACGAGCGGCCGAGTAAATTGTTGCATGGGCGGGCATCTTTTAAGCTTAAGATATCTCAGGTGCTATGATTATCTTTTTATTTTTTAAAATGATTGTTGTGTGGTGTGCCTTGTTTTAAGATATATGGTCACTGGTCAGCTTCTCTATCGTATAAAAATGAAAGAAAATGGTATACTTCTGTAGAATAGTTACAAGGTTTACAAGTAACTATGCAAGGCTAGCTAAAGCATCAACAGTTCTTCCAAACATGAATTCTTTAGTTAGCAAAATGTATTACATGACAATAATCCGTATAATATTGTCTACTGGTTGTTAAAACGATATGCAGTAAAATGCTGACATGTATTATATAATCGTGGTCTTTACTCTTTTGCTAAAAATGTATTTATTGTTACTTGGTTTCACAAAAGTCTTTATGGCCGACTGGATTATCCGACTGTCTCAAGTCACTGTTATTAAGTTTCAGTAATTGTATAAATGGACTCGAGTTAGTTGATTATCTATATTCATCTTTTAAGCGAGCTTTCAATATTCAGGTCTCACTTATTTAGTCTTCCACTGTAATAGGATAATTTGCGAATATCTGGAGCTGGATTCCCTTGCATTTACCGGCATTCGTAGCGAAAATATATCCATTGTAGAACAGATTTGAGGGGGAGACAACTGACCTTGTTTCTTTACTAGTTTAAATTAGTGGAGTGCATGTCTGATAAATTAATAATAGAACTTGTACCATTGAGTTCTTTAACCTATAATGTCAATCTTTCTTTGTGAAAGTGAAAGTGTTTGGTTCTAGCTTTATTAAAGGTGCTGCAGTCAGAGAGAGAATGTCAAATGTTAAGGAAGAATTTGAAGAGCTTTGAAAATAAGTCTCTTTTCTTTAAAGGTTTTTTGTTTTTGTTTTTGTTTTTGTTTTTTTTTTTTTTGTTTTCACAAAGGAAATGGACAATTATTCTTTTCTTTTCCTTTTATTAATTAGAATTTCTTAGCTTTTCTGGTTCTGTGATTTTTTCCTTTTGTTATCTTTCTATTCCTATTTTATTAGTAAATAACCATAATGACAATGAGCCTCACATTTTATTATCTTGGAACTATTTGTCTCCTGAATTTCCAATATAGTGATGGAATGCAAGTATAATTTGATTTTGGTCAATGTATTTACTTGTTTACCGTATATTTCCTATTCCATTACTACGGTATCGGTCAATGCATTTACAAAGTATTCCATCTTGTAGGAAATGACTTCTAACTTTCTTTTGAATTTTACTGTTATTTTTGAATGTTGACCATTTATTTTTGTTGCTGTTGGTATTGTGGGAATTAATTGGTCAATGGTTTGACTGATTTCTCTTTCCCATTTCAGCTCTCTTCCAAGTGTCAAAATAGACTTTTCCGCATTAAGTTTCACTTGCCTAAAATGGAAACATATCCTTTCTTTGAGGCATTTTCTCCTCCAATTCGCAGTATTTCAAGGAACCGGAATACTCGGCTATCATCTGTAGTATGGAAACGATGTACCTCTGCCCTCCATCCAATATCCCAATCATCTGAAATGGATGAAGACATGTTGGAAGTTCGGCAAAATTCTTTGCATGAAACAAAACCCAATCCGTCATCAAAGCGTTTAAGGTTGGGACAGGACAGAATTTCCACAAACTTCAGGGCTGATCCCCCGTTGGAGGCACCTGATGAGGAATGCAATTCTCATGCCTGGACTGCAAATAAGGTATCTACCATTTTCTTTGGCAGGTAATAGTTTGTTTTAGAAAGTTTATCTACTAAACAAGAACAACCAGCAAATATTAATATGGAAACTATATGCTAGTGTTACATAGATTCCTCAAAAAAGGAAGCAGCAGGATTGTCCTTGACTGCACCTCTCACCCGCTTCCCATCCCCCAAATTTTTGCTGTATTTATCATTGTGTTTGTTTGATTGTTAAATATTCCTAACAGATTGGCTCCCAAAAATACTTGTCCAATAAAGGACTCATTTTGTTGATTCTTGTCTTAAAATTCTGAATAAGTTGCAATTAAAAACTGTATAGTATTCCCTCTTGAGGATTCCTCATCCTCTTCTGCCTTGTATTGATTCAATTTTATCATTAAAAGTTTTGTTTCTTATCACAAAAAAAAAAAAAAAAAAGTTTATTATAATTCTTCTCCAATATAAAGGTCTCACTTTGTTGATTCTTGGGTTTCTTAAGCTACCTAATCAAATTAAAACTGTATATTATTACAAAATCTACATCTTCTAGCTTCTTATTTCATTTAATAGGTAAAACATATCATACACGGATGCGTGCATTATTATAGAACATTATTATATATTTATATACTTCCTCGCTTCTGAATTTGAAGGTGAACATATTATTTATATACACATACTCACATGTGTATGCGTGCGTGTAAAGCTCAATTTATCATACATTCACACAAAGTTATAGGTTTGTATAAAAGAATAGTATATATATTTTTCTTTTTTTCTCTCTTTTTCCTTTATCTACTGAGAGGGAGAAGAACATGATGACCTTACCGCTGCTTCTGGGTCTGTAAAAAATTTCTGAGATGATGTCATCAATATGTAGAATTATGTTTCAATGCAACTCTGTTTATACCTAATTGCGGACCATTGGTATTATTAGGTTGAAAACGAATTTATGAAAAGTTCAACTATGGAACATGAGAACCTTGAAGAGGACAACTCGTCATCTGGCTCGGAGAGTATTGAAGCAAGAAATTCAGCTCCAAAGGGCTCTTCAAGTACCAGAAATCAAATATCAGATTTAACTGTATTTAAGTACTCACTAGCAAACTTAAGTGAGAGATCTCTTCTACTCAAGGAGATTGCAAACTCTGCTTCTAACGAAGAAATTTTGAATTTTGCACATCAGGTCTCCTTGTATTCTGGCTGTTCACACCACAGGTATTCCTCCCTCTCTATCTGAACTCTTCTAATGATGGATATATGAGTAAAATACAGAAAATATAGGCAAACGAGGAATTCTCTATAATCAAAACTACGAAAAGACAAGACAAAAGCTACTTCAAGTTAGCTTATCCCAGAACTTATCAAGGAAAAAGAATAATACTTGAACCCGTTGAGAGAAGAAATCCATAACAAAAACTGCACAATCCACAAAAATTGGCTTATGCCTATTTGAATTGAAGGTAGATATAATATTATCAGGTATATATTTGGCGGGGGGGCTCCAGTTTCTAACTCAGATTCAGGGGATTTCTGGGTATCAAAAAAATTAAAATAAAATATATCGGGTATAATGATTTTCCATTACTTTTATCCAAAATGGAGATATTCATCCAGAAATATTCTAACTGTAATATGAATATTATTTTTCCAACTTCGATTTTCTATTTGGTTTTTAATTGGAGACGACAAAGACCGCGATGACATTTTCCTTGTGAGTTTTTACCTTGCATCACATCTCTGCATTGTAAAGAAATACATGAAAAGAGTGCAAATGAGATAGATACTCAGGGGGACCAATCTCATTCTCATTTAATGCTATTAGCTTATGCTAGAAGTTTCACATTTAGCTCGAGAAATAACTATGCTCTGGTGTATCTTCTCTTCCTATGTTTGGTTTCTAACTGACAAGAAAGAAAACAAGCAGACAACGAGTTTTTACTCGTGGTCTTCTTGTTGGTCTAATCAAGTGATCACTGAGATCCTTCATGTTTACGTCTTATTATGTCCATTTGCTGCTATCATGGCTGTTTTTTTTATCTCCACTTTGGTTGCAATGCAATTTTCCATCCTTTTATTATGATCATATCCTCTATAATTGTTTTTCTTTTACTTTTTCCCTCAGGAACCAAATAATAATGGCAAAAAGATTAGTGGAGGAAGGAACAAAGGCCTGGAATTTGATCTCACAAAATACCAACAAGGTTCAGTGGGAGAGCATGGTTTTTGATATTGAAGGACAATTTATGAAGATTTCTCGTTGCAGTTCTAGGTCTCTAACGCAGCAGGTCTCTTTTCTTTCTCAAAAATATATAACTCTACTGCTCCTCATTTACATATACAAATGCATAAACCTATAGGGTTTAGGGTAACCTGAAATATTTGAAGTAAAAGTTGAAGGTTTTAGGTCTTGGGCCAATCCACTTATATCAGTCTCTGACTTCCCTCAGTTTCAAACTCTTGTTTATCTGACCCTAGTGACAGCTTTCATAATTTCTAATCAGACAATTTGGTGTCTCATGGGAGCTCAATAATGATGCAAACCATAGAGCCGTCATTCTTGTATCCTTTCATCTTCACTCTAGGTTTATTAGTATCAATTGACCTTGATAGTTTTGTCAGTGTTTTAAGACTTATGTGTGACTTTAGGACTTTGATCTTCTGAGGAGAATTTGTGGCTGCCAAGAATACGTGGCGCAAGAGAATTTTGAGCAAATGTGGTGTTGGTTATACCCCATAGCATATGCATTATCAAGAGATTGGATAAATGCAATGTGGAGTTCTACATCACCCAGATGGATTGAAGGATTTATTACAAAGGAAGAAGCAGAATCTTCACTTCAAGGTCCAAGGGGTCTTCAAGAGCCTGGGACATTTGTACTCCGGTTTCCGACCTCAAGAATCTGGCCCCACCCAGATGCCGGTAGCTTAGTTGTGACGTATGTTGGAAGTGACTACGCTATTCACCACAAACTACTTTCTCTTGATCATGTATATAGGTGCGTAGTCCACATTTTTCCTTTTGTTTCTAAATTAAAGATAAGGGGTATCGGAATTCCGAGTGTGTAACTCAGAGTTGATTGGCAAAAGTAAATAACAGATAAGCAAATATCTCTTATGTTAGGATAAGCAAATAACAGACCAAAACGAAGTAGGGATTGAGAAAATTAATAACATGATACTATTTCTCTATTTGAAAGTACTAGATGGGTTTCTTCAGGAAAATTCATAGTTTTTATGTTCTCCAACATTAGTGGTTTTGGCTGGCTGTTGTTTTCGGGTTTTGTTAGGAGTTGGGCCCCATTTTAATTTTTTTTTGTTTGGGAAAAAACCAGAAATACCACTCAAGATTGTAAAAAATATTATTTTTATCACTCCACTAAAAAATAAACAATTGCCATTCAATTAATAAAGACAAAACAAAAGGCTACAATGGCAACTAATTTTTTAGAACGGCATAAATAATAGGCCTGCAAAAAACCACAGCAAACCAATATTTTTTCTTTGTTTGTGCTTTTAGTATTGTTTGGTCCTCGTTTTTTGTTATGACCTGGTTTTTGTCGAGGAAAATTCTTCCTCTCATTTCCTTGTATATTAATTCTTTTCAATAAAGGGTTCTATTTTTTTAGGAAACAAAATCTCCAACATCAGAAATAGGTAAATTTAACTATAAAATTTTTTTATTCATTTATTAACACTAAGAAATTAATGCAATTACCTACAGAGCAAATTTTCTATCAAAAAAAGTTGTAAATTTCGAAGAAAGGCTGTAGTTTTCATGATTGCGGTTCTCCTTTGGCATTCTCAGAGACAATTTGGTTATAAACTGCTAAATGTTGAATAATTTTGATGTTCTTACCACTATAGCATGACTTCCATCTCAACAGAAGAAAAAGATTTCTCACTCATACAATTGTTTTTCATTATTTGATTTAGCTTGATCAGGTCATGGCATTGTAGAATTCGATTTGTTAGTTCTATAATGGGAGAACTAGCATGTTCGCAGTACAATGCGTGAACCATCAATATTCATTTTAAAAAAATAAAAAATAAAAAATTATTGCTTTATATTTAAACAGAACCCTTTCTTGCGACCGTTCCATTTTCATAATTTGTTTATTATGAATCCTGATCAACCTGGCTGACATTAGTTGCCTGCCTTGTTTTCCTTCTTGTAGTTCCGCAGAGAACGAAAAGGATGTGAAACCGCTACAAGACATGCTTCTCGAAGAGCCTGAACTCTCAAGATTGGGAAGGCAAGATTATCTCATTACTTTATTCAACTTATTTTCTCGTTTGTAATGAAATTGTATTTTGCATACCACCATAAATAACACTGAAAAATTTACTTCACCGGAAAATTTGCAGGATAATAAGAAGTCACTAAGCACTAGAGATGCATCAAATCTTTCTGCTCTTCTTTGCAGATCAATTTTGCGGTATCTGTTTACTCATCTTTGGTTCATTGTTAGGTTTGTCATTGTTTAGAAAGAGAACCCTTTTGATATTCTTGTCTATGACTACTTGGAGTAATTATTTTATTTGACACACTTGAGTTTTGTACTTCTTTCCAGTTGTCAATTTTAAAAAGAAAAGAAAAAAAAAAAAGAAGTATTTATTTCAAACCAAGATTTAGACTGGTGACGTCTGTTTTCATGCACAAATTTGATGGAACCTCTTACATAACTTTACAATATGTTGTTTATAATAATAATTGTATTCAACCTATATGGTACCATTTGTCTCATTTTCACGTCCCATCTTTTGTTCCTCACATGTAAACTGTTTAAAGACCGGATTCATTATTTGGTGTTTGATTTAGGTACCAAGAACAACTTTGGACGAAACATCCAGTGATAATTATGCATATGACTAGGGCTGCTTGAACATGACTATCTTAAACAATCTGGATTTGAACACTTTCACCCTTGAACTTTTAGGTTTTTGACAACTTGATCCCAAATAAAATATAGATAAAGGTGACTTAAAAGTCATAAAATTGATCCCAAAAACTATATAAAATATTGATAAATAACTTTTAAAAAAAGAATTTCCAATAAAATAAAAAAAAATTGTTAAATTAGTGAATTAGATTCATAAAACTTAATAGGTAAATAAATAAAACAAATAACCGTTCATTTCACCGATTCGAGTTTAGAATTCGAGTTTTGTTACAGTAAAAATCTCTCAGAAACAGTCACATCTAACTTTTTTGCTACAGTAAAAAGCTCTCAGAAACATTCACATCTCAACTCAAATTAAAAACTCAAATCAGCGAATTAAACGGACCCTTAATATTCAAAATGTTTGGATTAGTTACATGGCAATTTGAGTGATGTTTTACCTAAACAAGTAATCTCGTTTTCACTGAACATGTGATATTTGAGTCAATTAGAAACTGAGGCAATTATTATACTATCTGACACCGTCTGGATATTGATATATATATATATATATATATATATATTCTCTAGTAGCATTCCTTGTACGTTTATCACTACGAGACTATGACAACAGATCACTTTGTTAGTTTGTTATGAGTAATGTGGATGCATTAGTATTCGTACGCATGATATGTTGAAATTCTAACCAAAAAAAGAAAAAAAACATGTCATCTTGAAAACACGTGATGAGGGCGGTGCCCGTGTATTTCTTCCAATGCCAACCGCGAGGCGAGTTGGAGACAGGTTTTCCCAACTCATACCCCCATTTCTTCCATTTCATGCGCTCACTTTTCTTCTCACGTAACTTGACTTGTTTTTTGAGCCATTTTTCATCTTCCCCGTTTGACTTACCTACAATAGCTTTTCATTTCTTAGCAGAACCTCCAAATTGGTTGATAATGATATAGGAACTTAATACAAAAATATTCATCTATATATATATATATAATATTCCATAAAAATAAAAAATATATATTGTTATTTTTATCTTAATTAATTGTTTCTGATTTGTTGACTCTTATTTCTTTTGAAATCAACGTGAAATCAAAAGGTTCAGTTAATAAAATATACAAAACTACTATTAATCCTTTGCAGGATACGACCCATCTAATATGAACGGATTTTAAAAATTCGATCAAATTCAATGCTTAATTTGGGAATGAGAAAACCTAAATTCTAAATCACATTTTCAACATAATTTTATGGTAGTTTATAGTGGCAGTACTATTTGTTCATATATTAATTTATCTGGGCAGTAATATAATTTTCTTCTAAATCCATATTAATGTAAATAGTTGGGATTAAGGGTAGCTAACTAGGTAGTGGTTTTAGAAACTCGCATAATGTGTAAAGTCTAGGGTTTGGTGAGTTGCAAAGCCAACTTCAACGTACAATTAGGATTGACAAGTGGTGGAGAATATATGGTGACAGCAAGAGGCTTTCACATGATCGATCCGCAATTCACACTCATTTTTCTTCACGTTTTCTTCCCTTCTTTATTTAGATTTTCCACTAGAACCACTTTTTTTTTTCTTCTTTTTTCTTTGGTAACATACAGGTAATTTATAAAGCGTCAATAATAAACATAATAAATAATAAATGAGAAAATTGATGAAATTATTTTTAAAGTACATGAGTCTGAATTTTTATTTTTTTTCTTTTAATTAATACTTTTTTAATTAATATTTTTTTAAGACGACTAACATAATTTTTTGACTAAAAAAGATAATAATAAAAAATAAATAATAAAAATTTAAATTAATACATTCTTAGAGATATTTATCTCCTTTTTTTCAAATAAATTAATCTAACTCATAAAATCTAAACTATTTTCTATTTCAACTTTTTGGCTTTTATGCTTTGTTCCCATGACTTGAAAGGTATGTCACCCAGTTCTGGTCAAGTTATATTCACTTGCCTCCAATGTTAGGCATGGTTATACAGATCTCATCTCTTTTTGACTTTTCCAACTTTTATTTCTTCTTGTCCAAAATATTCTCAATGAACTCTTTTACCAACCCGTTAGATTTTATCAAATCACGTCAAAATAATATATATTATCTAAGGCAGATTTAACAGTTTAAAATATATATTATCCAAATCTCAAAGGCTATACAGATCTGCGTATTGTTGAAGATATGTATTAATTGTTACCCGCTATGATAATTGACGAGTTGATAAGGGGACGTTTATTTTTTATATTTGTATCTATGATTTTGAATTATGATTTATAGTTCTTTACAGTATTTTTCTCATAAAAAATACACGTAAAACGAAAATAATTTTAAATCATGATTCTGAATACATAAACTAAACGTCCTATAAGTCATATGTTGTAATGATTCAACAAAAAAAAAAAGTCACGTTGTTATGAAAAAAAAAATCGAGAGAGTACTATTTATTTTCAAACCAATTGCATGATAAGAATTAGACACCCTAATTATAAGTAACGATATCATTAAAAAAAAAAAAAAGTAAAATTGACAAGCACAAAATTTATAGAGGTTCGCATCAAATGAGATTATGTTCTCTTTTAACCGTTATAGTTTTTCCATTATGATAAAAAAGACGTTATAAGAAAACATCGCACACCTCTCAATTCTCTATGTTTTTTTTTTTTTTACCTCTCTAATTAACCCCAAAGACAGACCTCCTTTTATAATAAAAATGAGGACAACTAATGTTTCAAGTGTGAAATCTTAAACCTACGCTTAATAAAAAAATTTATATCCCTCGATCTGCGGATCCATTTAGGTAAGGCAATAATCGGTCATGGTAATTAATTAGGTTCCATAACTTAACATTGCATACTAACACATAATTGTAATAATTTGTCATTTTTTTGGGGAAAATTTTTATGGTAGGGCAAGCTTTTTTATGAGATGTGACTTTATGTAGAGCTTTTTACTGTAGCAAAAAAGTTAGATGTGACTGTTTTTTAAAGTTTTTTATTGTAACAAAACTCGAATTTTAAACTCCAATCAGTGAAATGAATGGGACATTTTAAGGAAGCGATCTACAAGCTTTATCAGATTTCACATATATAATTAAAAGAAAAGACTACATTTTTTACGCCATCAAAAAGTCATATATTGCGTTTCGGACTGTATCAAATATTTATCTTCACATTTCAAACTAATGCTAAATACATACATTTCTTTGGCCAAAGATTTATTTTGATAATAAAAAGACATAAATATCCCTTATATTTTTGAAATTTTTAGTTTTTTCTTTTATTTTTTCCTTATTCTCATTCTTATTTTTAAAGGGAACTTTTTGGACTTTTTAAGAGTTAAAATTGAGTATTGAGTGAGAAAATGTACGAATTGAGCATAAAATCTAATTGAAGGTATAAATGTGATACAATACAAAATATAAGATATGGTTGTTTGATAACCTTAAAATACAAGGTAAAAAAATATAAAAAAGTAATAAAAAATAAAATAAAATAAAACAGACAACCAAAAAAAAAAATCAAGTGTGGCAGTCGTCAATCCTCAACTTTATGTGCCTTAATCTCCCTCGATGTGATCATACGCTCCCTTGTTTGATTAGGCAAATAAGTGAAATTTTCTTCAACATGATCAAAAATTCAAGTGTCTCCACAACCCCACAAACTCCACTTCATGTCATATTTTAAATCTGTCAGATAAATACAGGGACAAAATCATGTCTAATTTTCTTTCAACGTGAACAGCACACAAAAACTTATTTATTATTATTATTTTTTTTGCTAAATTAATTAACTTATTTAATACTACTGAATATCCTCTTAAATTAGATATGATCATCACATGATCACACCATTATCTGGTCCCACCAAAACAAGGATGCGAAGTTTCACGAAAGACTCGTGTGGGATTCAAATAGTGGATAACCGACACTCGCAACAGTAATTCACGGATTTGATATAATATATTGTATTATCATGAGCTGAATTAAACAATACGGCGTCGCTGTCCCAGATAGGTAGATGACGTGGCGAGACACATCAAACTAAACTCATGATCTGGGAAAAAAAGTGTCGACGAAGTGTGACAGACAAAAACAGATACTTCTTTCTCTATGCATTTTTTCCTTTTTGTTTTCTTCTTTGCATCTACTAATCTAAAGGGCTTCCTTTAGTTCTCTTTTATCTCTTGAACTTCTAAAGGTTTGTTTTATACCTTTTTCTATGGTGTTTTTCAGGTCCTTCATGCATTTTCATAGCTTCAAGTATGTGAAAAAATTTTCTCAGAGAGTTGATAGGAAAAGAGATTGAATATATATATATATATATATATATATGCATACATTTGATATTGAAAAAAATAAATCTATATTTGATTGTATTTCTACTAGTTGGTTTGTCTTCAGGCACTGAACATTTTGGTGTTTGTACATGTTTGTATGTTGGAGGCACAAAAACTAAAACTTTTTTTATTATTCTTTTAGATGCACTAGAAACTACTATGTATTTAGAACTAAATTCTTCGACATTACCCTGTTTTCTTAGAAATACCTACTTCTGTTTTAAGCCATATTCAAGAGTATTCTGACTCGTCCTGAACAGAAGAATGGACAGAAACATGTCTTATATTTATTTCTGCTTACTAAATTAGCAGGCTTTTATATTGAGTTTTAGTTGGCCAAATTTTCATCCCATTTTTTTGCAAAAAGATGGGAAATCACCAGGTTGTAGCATTCTACATCGCGATATCTTGTATCGCCTTTGTTATATCGAAGATTATTATCTCTGTACTGCTCTACAAGAGATGGAAAAGAAAGCATTTGGTTTATGAAGATGGCTTCTCAGGTACATACACTTGAGAACTACGGAAGTTCTTTCTTTTTTTTTTGTTTTCTCTCTCTCTCTCTCTCTCTCTTCAGAAAAAGAGAGAATTTTAGATATGCTGATATGAAGTGATAGGCTTATTCATGCAGGTGGTAAAATGGTTATGTTTAAGTCTACAGCAATGCAGTCTCTGAAATCAAACGTGTTCTTGAAAAAGACTCTGAAACTGAGCAACAAGGATATAATTGGTTCTGGAGGGTATGGGACAGTTTATAAGCTGATGATAGATGAGTCCACTGCCTTTGCGGTGAAGAGACTGAACCGAGGAACCGCCGAAAGGGATCGGGGTTTCGAGAGAGAGTTGGAAGCAATGGGGGACATAAAGCACAGAAACATTGTAACTCTTCATGGATACTACACTGCCCCTCACTATAATCTTCTTATTTATGAACTAATGCCTAATGGGAGTTTAGATGCATTTCTACATGGTATGCATTTAAGGTTCAGATCAAATTTCATTTCTTTGTTTTGATCACTTGGGAGTCGTAAATGTGCGATTTTAAGTGATGTTTGGTATTTAGGTTCTGCTACAGTGCAAACCCAAGGTTTCGGTTCTATTACAGTGTTTTTCTCTCTCGCAAAAAATTTGAATTTCAAAAGTCATAATCAAGAACCTTGGTTTAAAACGGTCCCTTAGACTTTCCCTAGTGATCAGATCCAAGGTTTTCAAACCTTCATTTTCAGTGCTAGTTTTGATGATTGTTTAAGTAGTCAGATAAAAGCTGCAATATGAAAGATTATAAAAATGTTCAGATATTGCACTAAAATTGAAAGTCACAAGGGAATTGAATTTTTTCAAGGCTCAAATTTCCCTAGACATACACAGTTACTCCATGTCTTGTCTGTTATTCTTAAACCAAGTAGAATGGATAGACCACCATTCATTTCGTGGGGTGGTAAAGGTACTCATTCTCTTTGACAAGGTCTTAGGTTCGAGTCAGTCCCACCTCAATAGACTGGATTATAGGCAAATCCAGTTAACAAGGGATCCATATGTCACGCGCAGATGCACTGACTCCCCTATAGTTACCTAAACACGCTATACTCTTATCTCTATAACTAAAGAAGAGTATAGAATGGGATAGATCTAAGCCCAACTATATCTGCTTTAATATCATGTTAGAGAACTACTAATTCTGAAAGTTTAAGCTTATAGAAGAGGGCTAGTGCTGGATTTTATGTATGACTCTAAATATTATTTAACTACCTATGTATAATCCAGGGAAAGGAATGAACAAGAAGCTTTTGGATTGGCCATCCAGATATAAAATAGCACTAGGTGCTGCAAGAGGAATTTCCTATCTGCATCATGATTGCATCCCTCACATAATACATAGGGACATCAAGTCTAGCAATATATTGCTGGATCAGAACATGGAGGCTCGGGTTTCCGATTTCGGACTCGCCACTTTGATGGAGCCGGACAAGACTCATGTCTCAACATTTGTAGCTGGAACTTTTGGATACTTAGCTCCTGGTATAGATCACCGAACTAACAATGCTTCTAGAAACTTTTTCCCCTTTTGTTGGTTGAGGATGAGGATGTTATAAATAGAATTGTTGTCTACAGAATATTTTGACACAGGAAGAGCAACAGCAAAAGGGGATGTTTACAGCTTCGGAGTTGTTCTGCTGGAGCTTTTAACTGGAAAGAAGCCAACAGATGAAGAGTTTATTGAGGAGGGAACCAAACTTGTAACTTGGGTGAGTAGTGAAAAAGACTTGAGTTATATTTACTTATGTTTCCTTATTAGCATGCTCAGATATTCTTTTGAATGGAAAATGGCATGGTGTAACTGTTTACATCATCTTCTGCACGAGCTTAGCTGCCTAGACACGCCAAGAAAACCACTTCCATGAGAATAGATTTGTGGTAAAATGTAATAGTGGAACTAATAGGAAGTATCTTAACATCTTATGCTTTTATTGGGGTGTATTAAGTGGTCAGAAATTTTATCTTTTAAAAGACTTTATATGCTATATTTTGGCATCTTATCTTCAACTGAACTAAACTTCCTGAAGTAATATCATATTAGTTTACCAATTCTCCCAAAAATTTAAGCCATTAGTATAAGGGAGAGGTAAGTATAGACTTACCTTTTATTAGGAGCGTTGACTTTATTTGTATTTATTTTCATCTTGGTCAATGCCTTAATTTGTAGTGAAACATGTTAAACCTTTGTACTCTCTTCTGATGAATTCCCTCTATTCTTCTAGTCCGTGTTTACAGGCACACTGTTGGAACATGTTAAACCTTTGTGCTCTCTTCTTACTTTACTAGTATGAAGGACGTGCCTAAGGCACATCCCTGTTAACAACACAAATTTTCTTACTTTTATAATTCTTTTTTTTTTTTTTTGTAAAAGATTCATATGAAATTATTAAGTATAATTGATGATGTTTTCAATATAAAAATTATATTTTCTATTATTATAAAAAAAAATTATATTTTCTATTTGTTTCTTATTATGGAAACATGTATAAATAATGCAGATATGGTTCAATTTGCAATCTATAATTAAAAAAAAAATAAAAATTAAACGTAGGATCGTATAATCTTTTTTTATTATGAGAGCATAAACTTATTAGAAAGTCATAATTGAACATATATAAAACCACGATTCAACAAAAGTAAGAAATTTGTATTACATATTTTATGATGATTATTATTTCAGAAATTTTTCAATAAAAATATTTAAATACATATATGTATTTTTAAAAAGCAATCAGCTGAAAAGAAGCAAGTAAGCAGGTAGGTAACTTCTCTAACTTGGTTGAAGTACAGTATTTAGCAAAAAGGGATTAGAAGAGAAAATTTTTAATTATAAAAGTATTTAAATAGATTTGTATATAAATGCAATCAGCTTAAAAGAAGCATCAAAGAGGCATCCCCTCTTCTATATGTGATAGATATAGATTTTCTTTTTAGTTTCTACTAATAAGTGCACCAACAATAGTTTTACATTTTAACAGGAAGCTTGTGAAACCATAAATTATCTTCTGTGTGTTAAATTCAATCCTAATTACCACCAACAAATTAGTTTAGCCGTAAGGATGCATTTCTTTCTTCTCCTTTTAGGATGCATTCAATACTTCATAGCCCATTTTAAGACCCTAACTCGACTAATGTATTGTGCGGCGTTGAGTGTGTGGTGACATAAGTGAAAACTGGGCTCATCCTTCAAAACAAGTGAGTTAGGTCATTTCTGTTACATTCCAAAGTGATGAACGGGACCCGGCGTGATAATAGCAGCGATCCCCCCTTTTTTGTTGAGGAAAAAAAAATCCAATCCTAATTGATATCAAGAAATTGACTTGTTGTTATTGGAGCAGGTGAAGACAGTTGTTGAACATGAGAGGGAAGAGCATGTAGTTGACAGAAACCTAGAAGATTGCCCACTTGAGGAGATAAACAGTGCATTCAACATTGCAACAATGTGCCTTGAATCAGAACCATCCAAGAGGCCTTCTATGGCTGAGGTTGTCAAATTACTTGAGCAACTAAAAACAAAAAAGGTTGTATTGTAATGGATTCTTAGTGTATCTTTGCTTAATCTTTTTCTTTCTTTCTTTCTTTCTTTCCTATAAAGTATCTTTGCCTAATCAATATCATCCTTTCTTCAAGTATTAATCTTCTTTTTTTTTTTTTTTTTTTTTTTTTTATACAATGTTGAACGAACCAAGAGTTAGAAGGAATTACCTGTCTCGTTTGGCTATAATATTTTAATTTCCTGTTGTATCACTCTTACGTGAGAACTAATAACAACAAAATAAAATAAAACTGCAAGGGGAGGAAAAATAAATAAATAAATAAATAAAGAGAAAAGAAACTAATTGGATTTCTAGTTTTGCATGAAGTGAAACTTTGGCTGTTGGAACAGAGGACTTGGATACGGAATTTGGCTGGCAGCCTTCTCAATACGTCAATCACATTAAGTTCAGATGCAACTCCATCCACAAAAAAAAAAAAAAAAAAAAAAAGTTGAGATGCAACGAAAAACAAAAAAAAATAATTCGCACAAAAAAAGCCAAAACAATAAATTATAAGAATTTGGCCGTCTGCCACCATCATTCCTTAATTTTCTAAGTGACAGTTTAATTCTTAAATTTTTTTTAACGGTAAGTCTATGAGACTAATTTTTATGACGGTTAAAATTGACTAGATTTTTAAGATTTAGCGGCAGTGCTCATATATCCATCACGTAATAAGTTCAATTTTACAAAAACAATTGCATGAAGTGCAAAATGGTCTGAATTTTGTGGGTTCTCAAGGGTATTGAAGAGAATATTTTATACCATATGCTATTGTTTCTGCAAAATTTCATGTTATCACATAATAGAAACCTTGCATATAATGGCACGATTGTATTTGTCATTTGGTCTATAAGAAAGTAGCAATTTGTAGTTTTAAAGGGTGCAGAGTACATTTAAGATGAGAGATCTAAGCACTAGACACATGGATGTGTAACACTACCACATGACACTATCACTTCCCTTGATACAATCTCAATGCCATAAATGACCAATCAGGCCAACTTGCAGATTGCTTTTCCTATAAAAGAAATTAGGTGATTTTGGGGGGAAAAGAAGCTTATTTTGTTTTCTGAGTTTGCTAGAAACTGTACATCTAGGTCGTTGAGAAAAATGCTTTTACCATTGAAGTTCTGCATTACTTCCCGGTAAGATCCAAGATACACGCATAACACAAAACTGGCGAACAACATTTTGAGTAATAACAAAAACATACGAAGATCGAATGAACGTTAACGTGTCTACTGACGGAAAATAAATTTGGAAAAACTCAACTCTGATGGCAATCTACTTGAGGTTTGTTGCCAACCCGTTGGCGACCGAAGCTTTTAAGGAGAGAGAAACTGGAGCTTCTCCGAAGAAGACATCAAAAAGAGCAGAAGCAACATGTTCTGATTCAATTGTGGCATCCACACTGGAAGGAATTAGCCCATCCGATGAAACGCTAACCTATAAATCAGAATAAGATATGATTGTTAGGAACATGACCAATATGTTAGTGTTTGATCCATGACATGCGTTGCAAAACGCGATTTCAACTATCTGCATCATGATTATGAAGAATATTCTGATGATAAAGATGAGAAAATCATGAAGATGAAAGTGAAAATAATCAAACGAGCATGAAATTGTAGTGCACATTTGAAGAACATTGTTGTGTAACTGCTGAACTTCTACTTACAAGCATTTTGGATGGGTCTAGCCAAGTCAAGAATATGAAAGTCCCTTTCTTAAGGGGCCGCCCCTGGAAGATACTGTGAAATGTGAACAGAGCAGTTTCGTCGACAGGCGTGGGTGATTTGATTCTTGGAGAAATGGCATCGTCCAAGGCATCCCAGAAAGTTTTACCATCTACATCTCTAACAAGAACAATCTGTAATGATTTCTCCAAAGGAGCTGCAACCAAAGAAAAATTACGTCAGTAACAATTCTCTCTGCCCTTTATGCGGTAACTTTTTGTTGTTATTACCTTGAAAAATTGAGCTGAAAACAGATGAATCCTCTTGAATTTCAGCAGCTGATCGTCCGTTCCATGAGTCCAATTTACTGAAAACAGATGGATTTACGTAAAGGCCCACAGCATAGACCTTAACACCGATGATTGCAAAGACTTTTTCCCTGAATCCTGCAAAGATACATATGATGCCAGAGCCCGAATAACTACTTTTTTACCTCAAAAGGAAACAATTCATATATAATCTCGTAACATTTCAAGACAAAGTTGAAACATTAAAAACTGAAAGCAGAATTTGGAAAACAACTTAATACATGAACGTGTTTTGATATCATTGATAAGATTCAAATTAAAGGCTAGCAGAGCCCAAAACAATGAGATACAATCACTGGCGCATCATACTAACTACGCTCGGTTCACATATTGCATCACATAATTTTGTAGGAGAAAGACTCCTAAATTTTAGCATTCGGCACAGAAGAAAATCTTTATATACAGAATGTATTTTGGTATTACATGAGTTTACCAGTTCCAAGCAATGACAATGAACTTGAGCAACTTGGCAAACTCAAAGTCGTCTGAAATGCCACTTTCGTAGCAGGCTCTTCAGCGTATTCTGCACTTCCAACTGCAGTTACAAAGGATTTAAAATTAGTACCAAGTTGGACAAAAAGTAATAAGGAAATGACATGACTGTAAGAATATATTTTCTAAAAGATTTTTCACCTGTCTTTAATCCTTAATAGATACAGAACCTAAAGACTAGCAACTGACTCTGAATCTAAAGTGTCCTGTTTCTAATTCTTTCATAGTTCAATAATAAGCCATCATAACAAAAAAATTTGGTCACATGAGTTAATTAGCTCAATTGTATAGATGACTTAACATAAAGCAAGCTTGCTAATAATAATCCCAAAGTTACACCACAGAAGTGAAACGCGCGTTTGAAACTCGTTTCAAAATGATTTTATTTTTTGTATGAATATGAAAATGAAAACGTTTTCAATCTCAGACAAAAATCATTTTAAAAAATGCGTTTGGTAGTTTTATCAAAAGATTGTTTTCAATATAAAAAAAAACTCATTAATATATCTCTCTCTGCTCGAGAGAGGAGAAAACAAAAATAAAAAATGAAAAACCATTCAAAATCGTTTTTCATTTCTCTCTCATTTTACACTAAACTAAAAAATCGTTTTCATTTCCGTTTTTTGTCTTTATTGCGCCAAATGTCGTTTTGGAAACGTTTTTTTTTTTTTTTCTCGAAAAACGTAAAAAACAAAAACATGATCAATTTCAAACACGGCCGTTATCTTTGCTTCCAAGATCAAGTTATGCCAAATAAGAAATCACTTTGAAGCATGCTATAACATTTTTACAATTAAAATGATAAACAAGAACCAAGAATAAAAATTAATTCAAGACAATGAAAATAAAGAGAGAACAATTCATGTTGATACTAAAAATGAGGGAACTGAAAAGCCCCTAAGAGTGTTAAGGGCAACAAAAACCAATCTACTTAGCTCAAATGTTACAAATGTTCCCCAAACAATATCCACAATTTACAATTTTATTTCGGTCCTAATTATACATGAATGAGGGAGGCGCCGGTTTTTGGTAGGAGATAAGGGATACTTAGAATTAGTCCAAAAGGCGTTGAAGTGTGTGATTCTCTTCTAATCATTTTCTCCTTCTCCGTCACAGAAATTCTACGGGTGAACTACTATAAATTTTGTGTGCGTCTTTGTTTTGAGGTTATTGCTCTCAATAGTTATTATTAAAGGATTAGCGCTTAATCTGAAACAAAAGCATCTTATATTGGGCATCGTTCATTTTACCGATTTAAGTTTTCAGTTTTAAATTTATACAGTAAAAAACTTTTAAAAAATGTCACATCTAACTTTTTCTTTTACAATGAAAAGATCTAAAAAAATATCACATTTTAACTCGAATTGAAAACTCAAATTTACGAAGTGAACAAGGCTCGTATAACTCTTGGCAGCCACCAAACATTCACATCAGCCATTTCTTAAGCAAAAACTCGAAAACGAAGCAGGAAAAAACTCAGTCCAGCTCAGTGCAGGTCTTGAACTAAAACCCAATTTTTTATACATGTAATACCAGTGATTTTGAACGTGGCTAGTGCATTTTTCAAGCAAAATATGAAATGTGGGAATTCCACTTAAAACAAATCATCATTATATCATGTAAACAAAAGCAAGACGTAAATAATTCAAAAGGGTTGTTGGGAATTTCTCTCACCTGAAGCTGCGGAAGCATTCAAAGAGAAATAGGTATAGTTTTTCTTCCTTCTCTGAAGAGTTAAATCCGAAATGGAGTGAGATAAGGCAAATGAATTCTGGGTTTCGCCCAATTTTGAACTTGGATTTGGTTTATTTTTAAGGAAACAAGTTCTGGGTTTGGAAATGCAGTTTCTGGAAGCAATTGGAAATTGCGCTTGAACCCATATTGGCGTGCAATTTGCTTCGGCGCCAAACATTTTTGTTGCCCTATTTTAATTTTAACAATTCTTTTGGCAACGGACGATTTTATTTTCAGTTTTCTATCTGATTATATGTAGAAAGCGAATTTAATAATATGGGCTCGCGTGAGTTCATGTCCTGTGCATGATGAGAAGGTGCCTATCCAATTACAACTGCCCTACCAATCAGTTCAGTTGGGCCACGTATTTGTACACTGTCCAGAAAGAGACAAAGTTAAAACAGAGACACGTTTGGTTCATGAATTAAAATCATAAGATTATAATCATTTTTAATTTATATGTATTTTTTATAAGAAAAAATACTATAATGAACTATGAATCATGATTCGAATCGAGGTATGAATTCCCCAACTAAACAACCCCTAGACTTACAGTTGCATCATTATTATTTATTTTTTTTATCAATCATTTATTCTCAACTGTAACGAATCATGAACCATAATTTAAATCGGGATACGAATCCTCCAACTAAATAACCCCTAGACTTACAGTTGCATCTTTATTATTATTATTATTATTTATCAATCCCTTATTCCCATAATTTCATGCTAGCTCCTTAGTTTTTGAGGAACTTTTTTTTGTACAAAATGTTATTTTATTCTATTTATAAGTACTTTGTTTTAACAGTTAGATTAATTTTTTAATAACTAAATCTTAATATGGAGCCAAATAAGAACTAATGGAGGTACGTGTGGCCAAAAAAAAAAATCTTTTGTAGAGAGTGAATTCTATGATTAAATATGTTTAAAGGGCAATGACTACTATTGGGAGTTGATTGGAAATTGGCGGATCGATTTGATCTCAAGTCAATAAAATACTAGAATGAGAAAGTAAATTACAGAAAAGTAAATGAGCTTAAAAATTTATGATTATATACTTATAATGTGAAGGCTACCACTTAGGATGTTGGAGTTTTCATATATGATAGTAAAAGTACAATTATAATGGTGAATTGGAATATGACAGAGAGGATAAGGGACTTTTGAGAGAGAATATGTAGAGATAAAAAGTACGGACAGAGTCTAGGTGGCATACAATTAGGCATTGTTCATTTTATCGATTCGAGTTTTCAGTTTTAAGTTTTTACAGTAAAAAACTCTTAAAAAATGTCACTTTTTCTGCTACAGTAAAAAGCTCTCAGAAAATATCATATCTCAGCTCGAATTGAAAACTCGAATCCGCGAAGTGAACGAGGCATTAGTGATATCAATCTCATATTTATAAAAAATTATGTAGGCTTTTTCAGTTGCCGTTTTCTTGAGCTACCACGGTTTGACCGGACTTAAAATTAAAAACTCAAATCGATAAAACGAAAAAGATTTTAAATTTTGCGGTTTTTGTGGTCTTGATCCATTCGTGTTGGTCTCCACGGATCTCAAGTCAACATGCTTCTCCAATCGACACGCTACTTCTTCACTCAATCTTCAGCCAGTTTTCTCCAGACTTTCATCTGAAAAGATTACACACGTGTACACTGGCAAATTAACTACGAATTTTACACCTAACAACTTACATTTATATTATACAATAATACATAACACGCTACAGTATATATTGATATCTATAGTATACACTGATGTATCTTTCATTTATATTTCTCACCCTTTCTCATCTATATTTATTCATCTTCTCTCTTATTCTCACTTTCTTTTTCTCTTTCACTTCTAAAAAGTTTTACATTTTGTTATTTTTATCAATGGTTTAACTATTTTTAAAAAGTAGAGAACACTAGTATTTTTTTTAAAAAAAAGAAACACTAGAGAAAATCTCTCAAAATTATTGACTTGAAAAGAAAGGTTATTAGCGTATTGAAGTACCTAGAATATGCAAAATAAATTTTTGAACCCATCCAACATTGTTAAAACTTTGAAATCAATTAAAATTTATTATTAAAATAGGAGAAGTTTTGTCCTTTTTTTATTCTACTATATAAAATCTTTGCTTCTATATGTGTTCCCATTAGAATAAAATTCTAACTCCGTCGCTAGTCTAATTTGTGAATGTCCATATTAAAAGAAAATCGTGCAACACATAACTGCTCCTAATCACAAATCATAACGGAAACACTAATACAACCATGAAAACAACGGTTTCTATTAGTGGAGTAAATTAACAGTTTCTACTATAAAAGTTTTCTAATTTCACTTTTTTTTTGTTTATTTTATGGGTGAGTGGATTCAAACTTTAGGTAAAAATGCAAATTATTTATTTATGATGTGATCCGGACTATGTTTTTTACCCACTACTAATAAACTTACCTTTTTTTATCCTACCACAAAATTTGTTGACTTTAAATTGTGTCATGGCATTTTTTTTATTTCCTTTTGTTAAATTCCACTTAAGAACAGCTCACATTATTAAAGAGGTTGCTATTCAGTAGATCACATAGTACTGAGTGGCTGGCCTAGTGATAATAAACTTGTGCGGCGGGTAAGGTATTAATGACTTTCTTTGGGGTCTCAAATTTAAAACTTTATGTATGCCAATTTAGTATTCGATTTAGTGTGTCTATGAAGATACTTTATATATCTTTATCATTAGCACATTCAGTGTGACTATGATGATGCGCTCCTCCTGATCGAAAGGTAAGACCTGACCATATAACCATCGACAAATATTAATGTCTAACGCCGAAAGACGAGTTTTCTTTAGCAAATAATAATAATAATAGATGACTCATATTGTTATCCTCTTCCTTTTAGATTAAAATGTAAAGAAACTAAAATAACTTTTCAAGAGCATCTGGTTGTGGAGGTATGTTCTGTACTATTATGGTTTTTTCTTAAAGCTTTCAATTAGTTTACGTTTGGAAATTAAAACGTTAAGTGTTTTATTATTATTATTATTATTATTATTATTATTATTATTATTATTATTATTTCATGATTTGCTCGAGACAAAGGCCAATAGTTAACTTGAAACGATTGGGATCTTAGTAAATATATATTTATTCTTCTCTATGTGCAGGATCATTATCAAGTTATTCTTGACAGTGCTTGGTTGATAATTACACCTCAATTTTTGAAAGCACCAATGATCAATCCTAAACACATTGTGGAAGTTGTAATGTAACAGAACGTTTATTTTATATATAACAAAACGATGCAACAACTACCCTGCAAAAAAAAAAAAAAAAAAAAAAAGATTCCTTATTATTATACTCTTTAAAGTTTTGTTATATAAAACAAGACACTTTTATGGTAGGAATTATTATTTTACATATCAATATCTCATCAGATTAGTTTTTCAACGGTTTAATATGTGAGTAGAAGTATTTTTGTATTGCGCACTATAAGTCTCAATGTGGACACTGAAAGATCTAACTGTTAAAAAATTAATCAAATAATTAAAACAACAATTATTACTTGTAGGATAAATTCGTAGGAAAAAATGGCCTTTTAAGATAGAAAAATGGCAAATTTTAGCAATTGAATTAGTTTTTTAAAGGTTTACTTTGTGAGTAGAAGTAATTATGTGTTGGATGTTGTAAATTTTTAATATGTACACTTAAAAATTAAATTGTTAAAAAAGATAAAATAATAGTTCCACCCACAGTAAGAGTTCCTTAAAATAAATGTCTTGATATACGTTTAACCTTATTTTATTACATGTGTATGAACATCCTATTACTCTTTTATTTGTAGAAAGTTGCATATGCAGTACTGGATGTAGGAATGTCAAAAATGTTATCCCATTATCGAATTTGCTCAAAAACTGTCTCAATATTGTGCCAAAAGTTTAGCCAAATATATAGTAGGAGAAAAGAAAACGGCATGGTAAAATGTTAAACGTAAGCATAAACCCAAGTTTCACCTTAAATGGTAAAAGTAATCATAGAATGTGAGCATTTTTATAAAAAAGTAAAATAAAATAAAAAAAAATAAAAATTCCTATCCTTGTTTGTTCAAGCAAATTCATTGGCGTCTCTCTTGACCTATTTTTTAACTTTTGGTAAATCCAAGGTTTATGAGGCAGCCAAATTGCTAAAAAGAGGAGAGAGTGTGTTTATGAAGAAAATAAAGACAAGTGGCACCCTCCGCCCGCCTTTTGTCCCTCTTTTTCCACAAAACCAAAAAAGATTCTCAGCAAATGAAATATTATAGCCGTTGGATCACCACTTTACATACCTTTTTTTCCTCACTTCTAAACCCCCCAAACTTTTGCATTCCCAGGTTCAACCCAAACATAGAAGTGTACTTTTTCTTCATCATTTTGCTACTTCCCTTCCCCTGCTTTCATCAATAGCTAATCCACTTATCAGTTTCAGTACAAGTCAAATGGCTAAAGCAGCTCTCTCTCTTATGATCCTCTTTCTGTCCTTCACTTCAGGTATTTCTATATGTTTTTGTGTGTGTGTGTGTGTATATATATATATATATAGACACACACACGCCAATATTTTTCTCAACTTTGACTTCATTTTTAAGTTTTAACCCAAAACTAATTTTTGGCCACATGTTCCCTACATATCTCCAGTGGTGTCTGACTCGTGCAGTTCCCAGATCTGTTTTAGTGTTTCCTCAGATCTGTTACTGTGGTATCTACTGTGGCCACATTTTAAGTTATAGTAGTTTGAATTTCGTCTTCACCACTTTGGTTTCCTTCTTTCTAGAAAACGAAAGCTATTTTCCTATTGAATCTTTTCACTCAATCTTCATTTCTATATAACTAACCTGATTTGTTGTTAGGGGATACCATGTTAATTAATGCATGTTTCTGAATATCTGATATAGTCAATCCACATAAAAAAATAAAAAATTATACAAAATTGAAAGAATTTAAAACATATACAACAGTTCAAAACAGAACCCCACCGACAAATCCATAGAATTTTGGCTGTCATACTCCACGCCTTCTTTCACTTGAAAGCATCTTATTAGTTATTATTACCCTTTCTAGTACCAAAATTTCTAATCAAAATTTTCACCTGGGGTTTTGCAGAGACTCTGCTTGTGGTAAATGGGCAGGTAATTACATTATACATTAATAATTAATTTTCCCATCCCATCAGGAAAGAAAAATTCTTAACATGGTAGATATTTTGTTCCATAATGGGCTTAATATTGCAGAAAACTTGGTGTGTAGCGAAGCCTTCATCAGATCAAGCGACACTTTTGGCAAATCTGAACTATGCGTGCTCTCAAGTGGATTGTCAAATCCTGCAAAAGGGATGTCCCTGTTCCTCACCGGAGAGTCTCATAAACCGCGCCTCTGTGGCCATGAATCTCTACTACCACTCCAGAGGAAGGAACCACTGGAATTGTGATTTCAGAAACTCTGCTCTCATTGTCCTCACTGATCCCAGTAAGTACTTTCCGAGTGTTTACATATAGTGCTTTTTTTTGCTTCTTTTTTTTTTTTTTTTTTTTTTTTTTTACAATATCAAATCATACTATTAGCCCGAGTGGTAGGAATAGCCTTACGATAATTCCATATCTAATTTCATTCACCACAAGATGTACAACTCTAAAATAACCTTGTTCGTTTCACTGATTCGAGTTGAGATGTGATTTTATGTGAGAATTTTTTACTGTAGTAAAAAAGTTAAATGTGACTGTTTGTGAGAGTTTTTTACTGTAGTAAAACTCGAATTAGCGAAACGAACGAGACCTATAAATAGCACTATCAACCCTATTGGGATTCTGGCAAAAAAAAAAAAAAAAAAAGCCTATTAGAGTAATAGTAGTGTGATGGAAAAGTAATAGTTTTGATATGGCATGTCTTAGGTGCTTTACAACTTATACCGTAAAGGGTGTAATATGTCATTTATTTTGTGAAAAAATATTTCTTTTTCGTAAACATAAGTGTATTTAGATATTGTTATTCAAAATAAATATATTATTGTGCTCTCTATAGCTAGATGTTACGTACACAACACTAGTGCAAATCTCCCCGTTGAACATAGCTAGATGTTACTTTTCTTCCTCGCTAGAATTTTTGTGCGGCTTTATAATTATCATATCATTGTCTTCCTTGGAAAGAAAAAAAAAAAAAAAATATATATATATATATATAATTATCACATCATTGTCTTCCTTCAAAAAGAAAATTTTATCGAAACGTGCCATAGTTATGTGTCATCCTTAATGCAACTTTTTTTTTTTCCTCTCATTGGTTCTTAAAAGTGTTTTGCTTTATTATTATTATTCAAAAAAGAAAACTGCTTTTTTCTTCTCGGTAATTGCTATTAATGGGTGTTGATCAACAAGGAATATGATGTAGTAAAAAAAAAAAAAGATACTTTGGATTTCGGAATATTTCGAGGGGTATTTTTTGGAATACCAATAAATTTTTAGAAAGAATTGTGATCGTTTCTCAACGTTAAAATTTTCATCTATAGATATTTTGGTTTGATCATCTTACGAAAATGTCTTGAGACCAATTTATGAAAAAGCTGGTCCACCATGTGATACGTACCTACCTCTATAAGTTTTCCAAAAGAGAACAAGACTTGATATACATATATATATATATATATATATATGACCCATTTTTTAATCCGAAATCGATCACAATAATATTCCATCATAGATTCATGGTATTATGCTAATTTCTGTCGTTCAGCCAACTGTAGTATGATTGATTTATATTGACATGCATGTATAACGTTATAATTTTGTGGTAGTTGGAACGATGTGAATCCTATTTTTGGGGATTTCTTTATTCTCTAAAGAATTGTGTTGATATGCAGGTTATGGGAATTGCATTTACCCTTGATCCAAAACTTTCCGAGAAAATAGCTACAGAACTTGAAAAATGTTCATGGGCCATGTTATGTTGCTGGCATGTACTTGTGTACTCAAATTTAGTTCTCTTTAATTTACTTTTTCGATAGAAAGTAATTTCTTTCAATCTCCAATAATTGCTCACATTTACTGTTGACTAACGGCTTGGCCTTCGAATCCTATAGAAATAATAATAGTACAACTACATCGAATCATAGTTCATGGTTAGAGGATTCGTTCTCTGATTCAAATCATAGTTCATGGTTCGTTATAATATTTTATCTTACAAAAAATACACGTAAATCGAAAATGATTCTAATCTCATGGTTTTAATCCATGAACCAAACGGGTTCATGTGTGGACCCAAAAATATGTGGTAGTTTTTACTAGTTAACATGTGTACTACATCAGTAACCTGGACCTCTCGTGATCTTGCAATACAAGACATAACTCTTAATAAAAATCGACTCTACTAGTATAAATAAATAATGCATAATAAATAGAACATCGAATGTTTTTTTTTTCCTTTAATGAAATCTTCCTTAAAAAAAAAATAAGTTTCTAGACCATTCATGGCCTTGAAACTAATGAAATAATGTTTTGGCTTTTTCATATTGAGCTAAATTGCCTCTTGTTTTTTCATTTTCTTTTTCTCATTGACGCCCTTCAGATTACTTGAAAGCCAAGTTCTTCTCTAGAATTGTTGTCACCTGCTCCTCTAATGATCCTAATCAGAGTGAGTCAAGTTGGGCCTACCAAGCCCGAGTGAACTTTCAGGCTACCCAGCCCGGCTTGAGTCTAAACACAAATGTTGGAAATTTCTCGAACACCAGTTTCAATTCTGAATCAACCAAACGAAAAACGAAAAGAAAGAACACCAAGATTTGTTATCAAGGTTCGGTACAAATTGATACCTACACCCCCACAAACTCCCAGAAGAAGTTCGATTTGCACTATTAAAATAATGATCAATTACAAGAGTTTACACCAAGAACAATCTCTCAGAAAATACAACCTTACCCAGAGAAAAACCACAAGAAATATTCCCGAGAAAATTTTGCCTATTCTCTCTCTCCCTTTCTTGCTTTAACCCCTTTCTCTATCTTAAGCTTTTTTTGTTACAGAATTGCTCTCAACTCATCAATCTCACAACCCATAAAAAAACTAATTTCTGTTTTTTTCTTCTTTGATCTCTCTAGCAAAAACTAACTCTGTTATAACTATATTTGAATATATATAAAAGTTGTAGAGGAAGTCGTTGATGCTCTAGTCAACACTAGGCCTCGTTTGTTTCTCTGATTCGAATTTAGAATTCGAGTTGAGATGTGATTTTATGTGAGAGCTTTTTACTGTAGCAAAAAAGTTAGATGTGACTGTTTGTGAGAGCTTTTTATTGTAGCAAAACTCGAATTCTAAACTCGAATCAGCGAAACGAACAAGGCCATGAAGTTAGTGCAACGCTGCCGTTTAGCTTGTACACGTCAGCTTCTCCTTTCATTTACTGAAACGATGCCGTTTAGCTTGTACACAAATATGCATTCTTCCAAAACTTATATAATGACTTGTAGTACATGTCAATAAGAGAATGAATTGATCACTTATAATTGAATCCTTAATTATATGGGAATTGACTCAACAATCTCCACCTCAGTTCCCATATAATAAAGTTAGTGCAAATCTAAACTTATCTCTTCTGGATCCTTGCTCGAATTTTTCCTTTATCATCCATTTTCAATACCTAGCAGTTTAAGACAATGCTTAAACTTGCTAAGTGTTACCACCTTTGTTCCCATGTTTGCAGGATTCTCTTCTGTAGAAACTTTCTCTATATTAATCACCTCTTGAGTCACTTTTTCTCTGATAAAATGATATTTAACTTCTATGTGCTTTGTTCTATCATGAAACACTGGATTCTTGCACAAGTGTATGGCACTATGACTGCCTGAATAAATAGTTGCCTTCTCTTTTAACAGCTTTAGTTCCTTAAGTAACCCTTGTATCCAAATCCCCTCATTTATGGCTTCTGTTGCAGCCATATATTTTGATTCAGTTGTTGAAAGTGCTACCACTGGTTGTAGTTGAGACTTCCAACTTATGCAGTTTCCACTTACCAAGAAGAAGTAAGCAGTTGTAGATCTTCTGTTATCTTTATCTCCAGCATAGTCCGAATCTACAAACCATTCAACTGTAATTTGACTTCCATGCCTTTTGTACATCAGTCCATATCCAATAGACCCTCCAATGTACCTGAGCAACAACTTCATTGCTCTCCAATGCTCTCTGCCAGGCTTTTACATGAATCTGCTCAGTGTGCTTATTACAAAAGTCAAATCATGCCTTGTGCAGATCATGGAGTACATTATTGACCCCACGACATTAGCATAAAGGACATTCTCCATGTACTTGCTTTCTTCATCATCTTTAGGACATTGTTGCAGTGATAACTGAAACTGGTTGGTAATAGGCTGCATTGGTACTTTTGCTCCTCTCATTGAAAACTTGTCAATTAACTTCTCAAGATAATTTTTCTGATTCAGAAACAAAACATCTTTGTCTCTAGCCCTGTCAATCTTCATGCCCAAAATTCTTCTAGCATGTCCAAGGTCCTTCATATCAAACTCAGACTTCAACATATTCTTCATTTTCTCAATCTTTCCTTTTTCTTTGCTTATCAACAACATATCATCTACATATACAGTAGATATTCAGCTTCAAGAATATTCTCACCCCTGTAATATAAGCATGTATCAAACTAGCTCCTTTCAAACCCTTGCTTGGTTATAAAGGTGTCAAACCTTTTATACCATTGTCTGGGTGATTGCTTTAGCCTATACAATGATTTCTTTAACAAGCAAACCACATTCTTGCCTTTATGAATCTCAAAGCCTTCAGGTTGTTCCATGAAAATTTTCTCATCTAGTTCTCCATGTAAAAAGGCAGTTTTGACATCCATTTGATCCAATTCAAGATCAAATTATGTTACAAGTGAGAGCATTATTCGGATGGTCTTGTACTTCACTACTGGTGAGAAATTTATGTAAAGTCTACTCCTTCTTTCTGTGTAAATCTGTTTGTAACCAATCTAGGTTTGTACTTGACTGGTTCATTATCTGAAGCTCCTTCCTTGAGTTTATAGATCCATTTGCAGGCCACAACTGATTGATCCTTATGTCTGTTTACCATGACCCAAGTCTCATTTTTATAGAGTGAATTCATTTCTTCCTTCATGGCAGCCACCCACATCTTTGAATTTTGACCTTTAATAGCTTCATTATAGGATTCTAGTTCCTACTTGTCTAGTTTTATTACTGTCATAAAAGCATATGCCAGCAGGTCTGTAAGAGCAGCGAACCCATATCTCTGTGTACGTTTAAGAATCCTCCTTGATCTGTCTCTCACCAATTGGTAGTCATTTGTCTGGAAACTTCCTTCGCTTTGATTAGTCTCATATCCCTCAGATGAGGACTGAATCTGGTCAGTGACCGTTAGTTCAAGAGATTGGCCTTGTTCAGGGACTTGTTGATGTGTGGGCTCCACCTGAATTGTACTCTCCTTGATAGGCTCCACCTGAATATTGCTTTCTGTTGTACCTGCAGGGTTAGTCACAGAAACACTTTCTCCTGCAAGAGTATTAGATTTAGATAAACAAGGAAAGTCAAATTCATTAAAAATCACATCCTTACTGCTTATTAGTTTGAAACATTTCCCATCCCTTTGTGCCCTATGGATATCCTAGAAAAATACACTTAACTGACCTAGGTTCAAGTTTACCCTCCTTTTTGTGTGCATAGGCGGCACACCCAAAGGTTTTTAGATGTGAGAGATCTGAGGGTTTTCCTCTCCACATCTCTTCAGGTGTTTTAAAATCTATGGCACTTGAGGGGCACCTATTGACCAAATAACAAGCTGTCATAACAGCTTCACCCCACAAACTCTTTTGTAGGTCAGCATGAAAAAGCATGCACCTAGACTTATTCAGTAGAGTTCTATTCATTCTTTCTGTAACTCCGTTTTGTTGTGGAGTTTTTCTAACTGTTCTATGTCTCTAAATACCTACCTCAGCACAATATTTGTCAAATAATTCATTACAGAATTCAAGGCCATTATCAGTCCTAAGTGTTTTTACCTTTTTGTCTGTCACATTTTCTTGTAGTGTTCTCCACTGCTTAAGTCTACTTAGCGCATCACTTTTATTCTTTAACAAATACAGCCATACCTTTCTAGAATAGTCATCAACAATGGAAAGAAAATAGAGGTTACCTCCAAGTGTAGGAGCAGTCTCTGGTCCCCAGAGGTTTGCATGAACATATTCTAGAATTGATGTAGATTCATGGCATCTTGTCTTGAATTTGAGCATGTGCTGCTTTCCTAGGATGCATGATTCACAGAATTTGACTTTGCTGATCTTGTCCTGTCCCAAGAGCCTTTGGTCACTCATAATCTTCAAACCTCTTTCACTAATGTGGCCTAATCTATTGTGCACAAAACAACCCCCTTGTCTTTTGGTGCTATAGCAACTAACAATTTCCCTGTGAGTATTTTTCCCACTAAGTGATATAGGCCATATTTCTTAACTCCCTTAATGACCACCATAGAGCCTTTACATATTTTCATTGACCCTTTTTCAATCTTGTTGACATAGCCTGCATCATTTAGAATTCCCAAGAAGATTAAATTCCTTGCCAAGCTTGGAACATACTTGGCCTCTTTGAGCTGCCTAACAACACCATCGAACATCTTTATAGTAATTGTACCTACCCCTACCTACCCCCTCCACCTGACACGTGTGGCTGTTTCCCATCATAACCTTGCCACCATTGACTTCTTTAAAATTAGTCAACCATTCTCTATTATGTGTCATGTGGTAGGTGCATTCCGAGTCAAGAATCCAATCTTGCTCACTTTGATTATTAGAAACCAAAAGTACCTCACCACTATCATAACCATCACTGTAGTTGGCTGCTTCTTGTGTGTCAGTTCAATTAGAGGAATTGTTCTTCTCCTTCTGTTTTCTCAGATACGAATAGCACTCCTTTTTATGTGCCCAAGCTTGTTACAGTGAAAGCATCTTTTTCCAGAATTGGGACCCTTTAAACTAGATCTTCCTCTTGATTTAATGTTGCCCCTTCCTTTAGAATTATTCCCCCTTTGAGCTGGCCTTCCTCTTGCAAAATGATTCTCACTAGAGGAAGAATCATTCTTCTCAGTTTTGATTTCAAGATCCATTGACTTGAGAGCAGAAATTACTTCTTCTAGAGTGATTGATGTTCTACCATACTTTTTGGTAGATTTTACTTCCTTAACGGTCTTAGGCAGGGCATTTAACAATATAATTGCTTGATTCTCATCACTGAGTGTTTCCTTTTCACCAGAATTCACTAACTCGATATTCATTCTCAAAAAATCATCCAAATTCTGGTCTAATGTTCTAGAAGTCTTCATTCTAAAACTAAAGAGCCTTTCTTTTAGAAAGATTTTATTTGTCAAGGATTTCTTCTGAAACAGCTCATCAAGTTTGTTCCAAATTTTAGAAGGGTAATCTTCTTTATCAATCATCATTATAATAGCATCTGAAAAATGAAGAATGATTATACCTGTGGCGGTTTCCAATAGTTCTTCGTGTTGATCTTTAGAGTACTCTTCAGGCCATTTAGGTTTTTCCTCTAATGCTTTGAGGAGCTTCTGTTGAGCAAGAAGCCCTTTGATTTTTCTTCTCCATATGCGGAAATCTCCAGAGCCATCGAATTTGTCAATTTCGGCCTTCAAATTCCTCATGGTCCCAAACTGAATAAATTCTTGAAGGATCGGTGGCTACTTGACTAGATTTGTGACTGCTACTTGTTATCCAAATCTTGAACTTCTTGTTCCTTCAGTGTTCTTCTACCAAATCAGAAGTGAAACTGATCTTGCCTTGACCAAGCTCTGATACCATTGTTGGAAATTTCTCCAATACCAGTTTCAATTATGAATCAACCAAACGAAAAATGAAAAGAAAGAACACCAAGATTTGTTATCGAGGTTCGGTACAAATTGGTACCTATGTCCCTGCGAACTCCCCAGAAGAAGTTCGATTTGCACTATTGAAAGAATGATCAATTACAAGAGTTTACACCAAAAACAATCTCTCAGAAAATACAATCTTACCCAGAGAAAAGCCACAAGAAATTTTTCCGAGAAAATTTTGCTTTTTTTCTCTCTCTCTCTTTCTTGCTTTAATCCCTTTCTCTATCAGATGCTTTTTCTGTTACAGAATTGCTCTCAACTCATCAATCTCACAACCCAAAATAAAAAATTGATTTATGTTTTTTTTTTCTTCTTTGATCTCTCTAGCAAAAATTAACTATGTTATAACTATATTTGAATATATATATATATATAAGCTGTAGATGATGTCAGTGGTGCTCTAGTCAACACTTCTAGTATTTTCTGCTCAGCCACGTTAGCTTCTCATTTCATTTACTGAAACGCTGCCGTTTAACTTGCATTCTTCCAAAACTTATATAATGACTTGTAGTACATGTTAATAAGAGAATGAACTGATCATTTCTAATTAAATCCTTAATTATATGGGAATTGACTCAACAACAAACATTATGTTTGCATGAAAATGGTCTTCAATACTTAACATATTGTAATGTACTGTGCATATTGCCTAACAACGTACTACGCGTGGTCTTTATTATTTTAGTTTTTTTATGACGTTTTTTTTTTTTGTCATTTTTGTACCATGAATTCTGAGGAAAATTGTACTTAGTATTTTAAACTATATTAAATTTATACATCCATATTTTAAATTCATATTAAATTATTACCCTTTTCGATCAAAGGTTGATTTTGACAATATAGTTGACCTAAATATCCTTCACATTTTTCAATCTTGTTTTTCTTATTGTTTCTTATTCTTGTTCTTTTGGGTGTTTTTCCCGTTCACTTCGCTGATTCGAGTTTGTAATTCGAGTTGAGATGTGATTTTGTGTGATAATTTTTTACTGTAGCAAAAAAGTTAGATGTGACTGTTTCTGAGAGCTTTTTACTGTAGCAAAACTCAAATTCTAAACTCGAATCAACGAAATAAACGGACCATTTTCTTTTAATCAAAATTTGACTATGATGGAGAAAAACGTGTGAATTTAGTATAAACACGTGGTCTATAATATATTTTGGTATCATGATAGAACAGAAGAGTGTAGGCACTATTTGTATACTGTGGATGGATGTAGTTCGTTGCGTAATTAAGGAGCGTGGAAGTACAAATTGTAAATAACTCTCTACTTCTATCTACGTTAATTCCAAATTACTTGTCCTTTTTGTTGATGTTGATTCAGTTCTGTGTCCTCTTCTGATTTGAATTTTTTTATTTTTAATAATTTATAATTGATTTGGAGTCATTGGACGTCAGAACTGATTTGAGTGGTTGAGATATGTTTGCCATTTCCTTAAAAGGGCATCATATTTCAGTATATTCCTCTACAATTTTGAATTTTCTTTCTCATTTGTTGGGAAATTACAGTCTAATTTCTTTCTCGTCTATTTGGAAAACTAGTAACCAAAATCCATCCCACATAAATAAAGTATTAAAAGGAAAAAGGAGGGGTTCCTCTTTTGTTGTTTTTCCTAATGCTTGCTTTGAGTTCGTAGAAGTATATAAGTTCTTTCATAAGAGGCATTTTTACAGTTTTTAATAGAGTGTTTTTAGGCATTTTTTTATAGTCCGTTCACTAAATTCAATTGATGAATTCTATTATTAATTGTTATGTATATTTTTAATCTAATATGATTCTACATCAATGCTAAAGAAATTACCTTTTACCTTGCTTGGACGGCCAAATCTGTCGTTTGAACTGTTTTTTATTTTTATAGTTTTTTTATTTTTTTTTTCAAATATAGTACGTGATGGGAATTCTTTTCAGTATAATTTTCATTAGAATTCACGTTTTGTTTTTATCTCCAATGTCGTAACTTCTAATTAATAATTTCTTTCAAAAAAAATTCTCCTACTCAGCAATATTATTTTTCTGGTGCATAATCTAATGGAATAAATTAATTGATGCATTAATATTTTCCCTAAAAATAACTACTACTCTTTTTCAGAAAAAGACTGAAAAGTACAAAAATGGCGTTTGTGACTTACAACTCACACAAATTTATGTATGAAACGTGCACATTCAAAAACCTACACTTTTGTAACGGAGATTCAATTGGTGGCCAAAACTGACACCCATGGACTTCAAATATATATATATATACTGTGAGCAAGTCTATTGTCTCTCTCTATATATATATATAAATATATATATATATATATATAATGTCTATAGTTACATATAAAAGGGAAGATGAGGTTAGAAGAGTTTTGTACTTGAACTAAAGATACAATGGTCAAGATTTCTTTTTACTTTGTATTCAACTGATCAAAATATCTCCATATGAATTGTGTATTCTCTCACATCTCATACTTCAATATATAACCTATTTGAAACACGTTATTTTTTTTAAAGCAATTGTTTTCATATATTGCTAATACACAAGCATGTAGAAATGCACTAATATAATAATAATGCATTATATGTTACGAGTAATATATATTACATATGAGTAATATATACTTCATGGATTATTATATAAAGCTTTTGTTTTCCCACAATAAATATGCACTCTCTTTTTTGCTTTTTTGTTTTCGTTTTCATATATTATTTGACTTGTTATAGTAATGCACTAATATATGAGTAATATATGATGTTAACATATTAAAAGTATATTTGCTAATTTTTTTTTTGGTTGGTAATAATTCTTTAATACTAATTGGACTTTAATTAGTATTCAATTAGTAGAGTTAACCTTGTTTGTTTAAAATTTCAAATTTTAATACTGTTATTTGACTTGCTATGCTAATGCATTAATATATGAATAATATATTATGTTAACATATTGAAAGTACATTTGTTAATTTTTTTATTGATTGGCAATAATTTTTTGATACTAATTGGACTTTAATTAATATTTAATTAGTAGTGTTAATATTGTTTTACTCTCAATTGTTATCAATACTAAATGTTAAATTAAAAAAAGTTAAATATTAAGTTGAATATTTTTATTAAGTTAATATTAAATAGTAATAAATTATTGAGTTAATAATTTTAAGTTAAATATTATTTCTTACGCACGTCCCTCATGCTAGTAGATTATCTCTCCCTATAAAAAGAGAGATGAGAGTATAAAAATTGTACTTCAACGTCACCAATCTAATGGCTCAAACTTACTTATTTTTCACTTTGCTTAAATCTAATGATTTAAATTTAGTTAGACTTGTTTATCTTCTCACACTACACCTCCTTTCTTAATTTTATCTTCATAAATGATTATTGATAGAGAGTAGATCGTGCATTTGTTTCTTCAACCATTTTTTGTGATTATGTATAATATAACTTTGTTGATTTTTGGTCACAATCATAATATTATGTATTTCCAATTTTATAAATTTTCTAAAGAGTTAATATTATCATTATAAACAATATATTAGTTTTCTAGATATATTAGTTTTTTATTAATTAAATAAAAGTGCATTAAGGTCATTATACATCTTAAAAATCAGCTGCAAGCTAACAAAAAGATGTTTTAGAAAACGCTGAGGTACCGTTTTAATATTATCAAAAATACATGATATCAAAAGTATATTTCACTATAACACATGGTACCAAAATAATTTTATCATAATATAAAATAACATATTTTTTGTTGATCATATAAAATAACATATTTAATACCCTACTTTTTCACTCCAAACTATAATATTATTTTAATTGCTATACCTACTTTTCGTCTTAGTTTTCGTAAACTTCTTTCTCTTTTTCCATTATTATATCATAATTAATAAGTTTTGAAATTTGAAAAATTAAACTTTTAATTGGAAACGTGCTTCGCACGTTCTAGTGTATTGAGACACTTGAAGAGTGTATTATTTACTTGATGATGTATTAGATATGTTATTTTCATAATTTTTTAGTGTCAAATATAACTTTACCTTTATATTTACACAAATGGCTCACGGATAAAGGTCTTTTACTTTTCAACCAGCATTTCCAATATTACATATAAACCAACGCGGCCAAGCGTCACTCACTTATTCTCTCCCTCCCTCTTTCCAAAATCCAAATGATAAGGAACCAAGGGAATTGTGTGGGCTACTTGGATCCACTCAATTAACAACTCCAACATGTGTTCTATGTTAAAAGAGAAGCTTCTAAGCCAATGACCTATTTGAAAATTTTTTTTCCTTTCCTTTTCTTCCTTCCTTGCAAGCTTTCCTTCAATACCCAGTTGTCTTTTTGTGACCATTCTCTCTGGCTGCGAGAGATTGAGGCAAATTTCTCATTTGGGTTTTTGATTTTCTTGTGATTTCCGCAACTGGGTATTGCTCAGAATGATGTCAGTGACATGCCATAATCTTGATTTGGGAAGGACCGTTTTGGATTTGGTCGCTTGTGGCTGTTCTTCAAGTGCTTCTTATTCACTGAAAAACCACGCAAAGGTAAATTCTAAGGGAAGAAGTTGTAGAGTTTATGGAGTTCGGAAATTGGTTAAAACCGCCCGTTGGGAAAGAACTCGTTGTCAAGTCTCTTCCATGAAAACTGCTGAGCCTCTACTTAGTGGTAAAAAAATGAATAAAGTTCTTTTTTTGGTATGGATTTTTTTTTTTTTTTTTTTGGGTTGATTATGAGCTTTTGGTTTACTTCTTTGTGTTTTGAAACAATACAGGTTCTGCACAAGGTCCTCCAAGAGTATTGGATTTGAAAGAGCCAAAAAGGCCTGTTTCGTTGACTAACTTGTTTGAAGTTGTTGCTGATGACCTCTTAACTTTGAACCGTAATCTTCAGTCGGTAAGCCTTTTTTTTTTTTTTTTAAATAATGTTGTTACGTAAATTCAGATATACTTTTTACTCGGCTATGCTTTAATGCGTTCTGAGCTTGTTGATGAATCTGTATCTAGATTTATTTATCTTTTTATTGCTTTTTAGAATGTGATGGTGATGTATGGTTATCCATTCATGACATTCATCATCAAAAGTGTTAAGAAGTTTGAACTGTCCATGAAGCGAAAATTAAAGACGCGTTTGGGGATGATTCTGACAATACCCTGCTAAGGGAATATCTGATACTAGCTGTGATACTTGTGGTTGAGGTTGTGTAGTTGTGAATTTCTTTCTAGAAGGAAATTACTAATGGGTTGCGGTGGAGTGCTGCAGTAGTTTAGTTATGATGAGGGAGTGACAGTGATACCTCACCTTAAATTCTTTCTGCTGTAGACTAGAGGTAATTCTGAAATGAATGCCTAAGTACGGCTGCGGCGGCATTCTCTGCTGCCAATTTGCCTGTTATCGTAGCATTCGCTATCCTTTTCTAAACCTTACACAGAATTGGTTGGAAGAAGATGGGGAACAGAAGTAGGAAAAGACTTGGGGCCTCTGCTCATTTCTGAGGGGCGCAGTCATTGTTGTAAAGGAACCATTGTGGCATTTTGCCTATAGCAATTGCTGATTGGTTCTGTAAAGAACTTGAATTTGCAGTTGCTTAATAGCAAATCTCTGAAAGTTGTTTTTCTGGTTTGATGGTTTATAGAGAATGGTCATTTTAACATCCAAAGCATCTCATAATCTCTCTTTTTTCTTTCTTTTTTTTTTTCTAGAAATATTTTAACATATTGCTTGTTGCAAATTGAAACACAATTTCGCATTTGTTCGTATCCTAGTTGGGGGTGGGAGATGGTGAGGTGTATCATTCAGCTAAGCCTAACTAAAACCTCCATGCATCATTGTAACACAATTTTGTGTTTGTTCTTTTCTTCTCTATAAATTGGATACTGTGAAATGTTTCTGTATTCCCAGACCGTGACAACCACACTCTGTATGGTATTTGGTAGAAAGAGTTAAGTAAAAGGGTGCAATTTTCCCAGTCTCTGTAACTTTATATTGTCAGCATAATAAGTGCAGTACTCTGGTTCTCACTCATATAATTCATTATCTTATGACTGTACTCTGAAGTACTCTACCTGTGCTGTAGTTTTACAATAAGCTCAGTACATTCTTGATGGTACAGAAATAATTATATTTAAGGTGTATAAAATTTTGCAGAATACTTGAATGCCTATTCTATAATATTATCAGCTCTGCGAATGGTTCTATAATTCATCAACAGAGAGCAAGACATGCGTAAATATTTAATCTGAAGTCTTTGCTTGCATTGGCTATCCTTAATTTCTAATTATTTGTCTGACGAAAATGCTTTTTTAGGTTGTTGGAGCAGAAAACCCAGTTCTGATGTCTGCTGCGGAGCAAATATTTGGTGCTGGTGGGAAGAGAATGAGACCAGCTTTGGTGTTTTTAGTCTCAAGAGCAACAGCAGAACTAGTTGGGCTAAAGTGAGTATTCTCAAGGTATCTTCTTATAAGTTACGTGCACTATGACATTATGTGCAGAAGATAAGCTTCATCTTAAACTGCTTACATCAGGGAACTTACCACAGAGCATAGACGTTTGGCAGAGATTATTGAGATGATCCATACTGCAAGCTTGATCCATGATGATGTATTGGATGACAGCGATATGCGGAGAGGTATGTGTTCGTATCCTTACTGGAATGAACAATAAACTTGTAGTTTGTGGGTGTTTGTCATTTCCAAATGAGCCAAGGACTAGTTTATTTATATATTTATTTGTTGTTGTTGTTATTATTATTATTATTTTATTTTATGTTTTTACAAATTCTGATGCTATAAACATCAGATTCTGTTGAGCACCAATATTCATGACACTTTGTTGAAATTCAATACTGGCCTTTTTAGTTTTGTCAAAAGAGCTGAGTTCGTTGGGTTGTTATCTTTTTCAGTTAACTTTTGTCAGTGAAAGCATAACCATGTGAATTTGATAATTCAAAAGTTAAAAAAATGAAAAAAGTAGTAGTAATAATAATAACTATAAAGTTCTCATATTGCCTTAGTAACTTGGGGATTTACAAAGCGGGTAAAATTTTGATTTTGGAGTACGTACAATAGTGAGCATAAAATAGTTTTATGGTGTTCAAAGTGATACCAGTCACAGTCAGTACAACTATGTTGATAAAGCAGATGTTTTTGCTTCAAAAAGTTAAAAAGTTTGGGGAAAGTATCAAATGAGGTGCTGATATTCGCAGACATTCCGTGGGGTGCCACACTTGCTTTGCTTCGTTCCACTGACATAGTACACTTTCATATATCTTCTTCTACTCGTTGCATTATTTTTTTCGGAAAATTCACGGTTGTCTGTACTGATTTACAGGGAAGGAAACCGTTCATCAATTGTATGGTACAAGAGTGGCAGTACTTGCGGGAGACTTCATGTTTGCACAGTCGTCATGGTATCTTGCAAATCTTGAGAACCTTGAAGTCATTAAGCTTATTAGCCAGGTAAAATATGTCAATTTTCTATTGCAGAAGCCTTAATGGTTCACAAGAGATTACTTACTTTTCTAAAGTCCATTCATGTAATTCTTTTAGTGCTGTGGCAGGTAATCAAAGATTTTGCAAGTGGTGAAATAAAGCAGGCGTCGAGCTTGTTCGATTGCGATCTTGAACTTGAGGAGTACTTGATCAAGAGCTACTATAAAACAGCCTCATTAATTGCAGCTAGTACCAAAGGAGCTGCAATTTTTAGTGGGGTTGAAAGATACATATGTGAAAAAATGTATGAATATGGTAAGAATCTTGGGCTGTCCTTCCAAGTCGTCGATGACATATTGGACTTTACGCAATCGGCAGAGCAGCTTGGTAAGCCTGCAGGCAGTGATCTGGCCAAAGGGAACCTCACTGCGCCAGTAATTTTTGCTCTTGAGAAAGATCCAAAACTCAGAGAGATCATTGAATCAGAATTCAGTGATACTGGTTCGCTTCAAGAAGCCATTGAGTTGGTCAAGAATTGCGGGGGCATTGAGAAGGCGCAGGAATTAGCAAAAGAGAAGGCAGATCTTGCAATCCAAAATCTCCAATGTCTTCCTCAGAGTTCCTTTCGAATAGCTCTTGAGGACATGGTGATGTTTAATCTCGAGCGGATTGATTAAGGAAGCAAATTTCAGACCGTAGGCTGATGATGTGGGAACACATGAAAGAGAACAATTCCTTGCCTTAAGGAAAAAAGAAAAATCCTCTGCCATGAGAAGTGTTTTCTGCACATTAGCGGGTCTTCTGCCAATGACAAGCTGCTTGTGACTGGCTGTACATTTTATAGAAAGGGTAGCTCTTTATATTGCTTACTCAAATTACATTTTTGTTGCACAATTGCTACAAAAACAAAATAATATTCTAAAATTCTTGTAGAAGAAATATTCAAGGTAATCAATAATTTTGAGCCATTTTATTTATACACATACTTTTATTTTCCCCCACTTTTCTTATATCATGCTCAAATCAATCAGTATGGAAATAATTGAAGGAACTGAAGAGAGAGAGCACGGTACTAGTTTAATCAGTGACATTAATTCCACCTGGTAACAGAATCATAGCATAACAATGCAATAAAGGGAAGAAATGGCTGCTTGAAGACTATTTCTATTTTTGAAAACCCCTAAAAGAGATCAAAAATCAACTCCGGACGAACAGTAAATAGACTCATTAAAAAACTAATGGTCTATTAAGCTAGGGAAAAAGCCATAAATCCCACTATATGACCAACAAATATTCTCCAGGCATGAATTGGACCTATTATGCGACAGAATGATGGGTTTATCTTTAAGAAATGCATCGTTCCAAAACAAGTATCAACACCCTGAACAAGTTATATTTAGTTTCATAATGTATCATGAAACTACTTTTTTTAAGGAGCAAAAGGCTTTCATTAGCACCCCGAATCTTGAGTTGAAAACTAAACTCAATTGCAAATTTCACCTCGAATTGTGAGAAAAACAGACCCTATGCCTATTTTACCGCCATAAAAATTCAAAACCAGCTGCATCTTACTTTTCCATTCTCCGCGGATTGGGCCGACATCTAACAGTGAGCCCGCTCCTATATATACGCAAGGCCTAGAAATCGAAGGAGAACGACAAGTCGTCATTTCCATCGAGTGAGTCTGTCGTCTTCTTCCTCAAAATCCTCCGTCAAGTCACTGAAGAAGGTTGCTCGCCATGTTTGGACAATGGAGGAGCGTTGCCAAGGAGGCAGTTGATCGCGCCCTCATTATGGCCGAGTTCTGTTGCTTCCTTCATGTCATCCCCAACTACCTCTGCTCCTCTACTATTGTCCGTACCCTACCATTATCAACCCCCTCTCTCTCTCTCTCCTCTTCCTTCTTGAGAGAGAAAGAGAGAGATTGTGTGTCGTATGGTATGTAAGTACGAGCGGTTTTCTGGTGTTTGCAGGTGCACGGCCCCAGCATGCTCCCCACCCTGAACCTCACCGGCGACGTGGTCATCGCCGAACACGTGTCCCACCGCCTCGGGAAGATTTCTCGCGGCGATTTGGTGCTGGTTTGCTCCCCTCAGAACCCTAGAAAGATCGTGACGAAGCGCGTCGTCGGAATGGAAGGCGATACGGTCTCTTTCTTCTTGGACCCCAACTTCGGCGACAGATACCGAACTGCTGTGGTATGTCTGTGATTGATTTCCATTTTGTTTCATTCATTTTCGGAAAATTTTCAGAATTTCCATTATTTTTTGGGTATTTGTTTCAGTTTTAGGATTAGTTTTATTGTAGATTTCTCTTGTTCATGGTTGATTTCAACTTTACATTTGGTTGCGGATTGTGTTGTTATGGATTCTTTTCAAGTTATAGAATCGGTTTCTAGGAATAATTGGATGAGATTTTTGGACTTGGAAAGAGCTGCGATGTGGTGAAATGGAGGATGGAAATGGGGAACCCAACTTAACTAAATTCGATGAAAATGGCTCTAAAAGGCAATACCAGGACATTATGAAAGTAGAAAGTGAATATGAAGAGAGAGAAGAAGAACGAGAGTGAAAGGTTTGGGAGTTTTCAATGTTGTATTCAATTATCAAGTCTTCATTGCATTGACCATCTCTAGGCCTATTAATGCAGAAGAAAATAACCATAAAGCAAGACTAACACGAATATAAAAGGAAACTAACTAATACAAATAGTGGAAAAAAAAATATAATAAAATATTAGGGAATTGTACTTGATAATATATTCTATATTTCTAATACAATGATCTTCCTCACAAGCTATTCTTGTTCCTCATCATATAAAAGTTTGATTTTAGATGGTTTGAGTAAGGTTGGTTATAAGATTTATGTATTTTCTAAATAAGACTTGGCTCCAGAGGACATAAAACTCTCTAATGGATTTACGAAATCTACAAGTTCTTGGTCTTGAATCAGAATATTACAGCAGCACTCAGAGACCCTGAGGATGCTGTACTTTACTTCATTTTTAGAGTGATTGCTTCTGAAACCTAGGAATCCTTGGGGATTTTAGCATTCATGTTTATTTCTATTTTATTACCTTTTTAATAGCTTGAAGAACAAAGTCTTGTTTTTTGCTAGAAGTATTAAAATCTAGAGTGTTGAAGCATACTAATAAAAACGCTATAGGAATATTCACAGTAGACTAATTTTCTCTAATGTTTGATAGCATAAAGTGCCTGTGATCATGGATTGGTTATTGGTGGAAGATGTTTCTAGTGCAAATCAATAACGCTTACTCGTTGGTGGTGAATCATGTAATGAATAAGCCTGATAGCTTGTGGCTATAGCAAGAAAGAGAAAATCTGGGTACACTGATATTGCTCAAATGTACATTTAGTGGACGTCATTGTGAGCTAATAGATGGGGTTTATTTGAACATTGATTTTGAGCTGGTGGTAAATAAGACTTTGTTATGTAACTTAACCTGTGGCTGGTTATTCAACTTTGACATTTCATTTCTTCGGTTTTACAAGTTTACAACTAACTTCATTTCCTAACCAATCATCATTTGGGAATTGGGGGACTGCTTATCGAGATTTTGGATCTTTTGGTTTCTGATCTTAACTTTTTTTCTTTGCATTTGCATGAGTAGGTCCCTAAGGGGCATGTTTGGATTCAGGGTGACAATGTATATGCGTCCAATGATTCCCGGTATTTTGGGCCTGTACCTTACGGCCTTATTCAGGGAAAAGTGTTTTTCAGGGTAACTCTTTTACTATTGTCTCCAGTTTTGTTTTTGCCTTTTTTTTTTCTACTTAATTCCATTGTGTTGTATATTTGCCCTCTATGAATTTGGTCATGAGAAACGCAACCAATTGCAATATGTATATGTGAGCGCATACTTATTTCCTGTTAATGCTCACATGGTAATAATGTGTCTTTAAGCATAGACGTGCCTGAATCTTCTGTGCATCAAACATTTTTTACAATTTTGATGGAAAGAAAATGGTTCCACTGGTCTTGTTGTTCTGTTTTTATCCTGTTCATAGGTGTTAGAAGTTGCCCTTTTTTTCTTTCTTTCTCGTTTTATGGTTATTATGTTAGCGAACACACACATACTTAAAATCACTGTTGAAAGATTGGTTATCGACTATGCTTTGTTCTATAATTTCTGAGACTTGCTTGTATGACTACCATTAAGTTTTGTTCTATAATTTCTGAGACTTGCTTGTATGACCCATTCTACATTAACTTCGTTCAGTCTTAACTTCTGAGATAGTTTTGTCCAGGGCAATTGGAAATTTCACATATTTTCTTTTTGTCATTAGGTTTGGCCTCCTGATAGCTTTGGACCCTTGGGTAAAGATTGAAGGGATCATACACTTTCAGCCAATTACGTGTATTCTCTTTGCATCCCCTCGACTTTGTTTTTGTTTCTATCTTAGAGCATTGACATAAAATGATAAACAATGGGTTTTGGTTTATGAGGTCTTATTTCATTTCTCATTACAATCCGATTTCCTAATCATGTTTTGTCTCCTCGTTTATTTTAGAGTAGAGAATATTTCTTCGACTGTTATGTTCATGATTGCCGAACCACGTCAAAAGTCATGAATGCTCCCTTTCCTTTTAATATGAGAAGTGTTAACATCTCTTTCTGTCACTCTCTGTATTCACTATTTGACACGTGAATTTTACTATCTCATTTTCTATTTAAATAATAATATATCATATTAATAATTCATTTTGCGTAAAACAAGTATTGTTGATACACTCACCAAACTCCTTTTGGTTCTACACACAGTCGTGAGAGCTAAAACGCTCAATAGAAATCCTTTAACCCCAAAATAGTTTTAGAAGGAAATAACATAATTTTGTGTTTTAATAAAAATAAATAGCATAAAGTTTGGAGATTAAATACGCATTTACCACTCTACAAATACTAAAAGCACCCCTAAACAATTAAAACTCAAGGATTTATCGTGTAAAACTTTAGTAGGGTCAAATATAATTCTTCAAAAGTTTTGGGGTTGTAATAAATTTTTTATAAATAAAAAAATATGTTTTAATTTATATTTTTTAAAAATTACAATTTCACCCATAATTTTTGGAAGTTACAATTTGACCCTCTCAATTTTTAAAAAATACAATTTAATCCAAATTTTAAAAAACTTCGTAAAAATACCCTTTATTGGTTGGTAAATAAAGAATCTAACGAATAAATTCGTTATTTCTAAATAAACCATAACTATTATTTGATAAATAAAGGATTTACTCATACTTAAATGGTAGATCTTTTTCTTGGCTTTTTAGCAAAATTGCTTTTTGAACTTTTGTGGTTTAGTAAATTACTCTTTAAACTTTTTAATTTTGACAATCAACTCCCTGAACATGTAAAATTGTTGCAATATTCCTTATTTTACTAAATTTGTTCAATTTTTTTATTAAATTTATGGGATTAAAATTTGAAGAATTGAAAGATTTGTCTTATATTGAAATTAGGATGTTGAAATTTTTCATTGAATGTTCTTTTTCACAATTAATTTAATATAATCATCGTTAAAATATAGCATATTACAATAGTTTACAAGTTAAAGGTGTAATTTGTCAAGATTAAAAGTTCAAGTGGGAACTTGCTAAAACATACAAATTCAGGGGGTAAATGTATAAAATACATATATACATTTTTTTACCAAAATCACATTTTCTTTTTTTTAGGTTGTAAAAAAGCAATTGAGTAAATTTGTTATTTACCATGATTTTAGTTGGTAAATAAAGACTTTAGTGTTTAAATTCATTATTTAACACGCTTTTAGTTGGGTAAATAAAGGATTTATCTAGCAAATTTATTATTTATCAAATAAAATAATCTAATTGCTTGTAAATAAAGGATTGCAAGTATAACTTATAAATGACGGATTTACCGGGTAAATTCTTTATTTACTAGGGATGTATGTGTAAAGTTCTTTATATAGTGGTAAAAATGTGATTTTTAAAAATTTTCAAAATACAAATTTTTAAAACTATAGAAGTGAAAATATAATTTTTAAAAATTAAGGAGGCAAATATAAATTTTAAAAACTTTAGGGGTTAAACTATAATTTTTAAAAGATTTAGAGTTAAAATATAATTCTTAAAAACTTAAAGGGTCAAAATGTAATATTTAAAAACATTTAGGGGTTAAATTATATATATATATATATATATTTTAAAGATTGCATTTCAACTCAATAAGATATATTGTCACGTGTTTTACACGTGTTTGATGCTAGTACTAGTACAGAAATTTGACTGAGCCCTTGACACACAACGTCGTTTATGCAATACGGGGGAAAAAAAAAAGAAGAGAGAGAGAGAGAGAGAGAGAGAGAGAGAGAGAGAAGGTGGGAGGGTAAAATAGACATTGCGCGCCCATCTGCCTATAAATCAAACAGAAGCTAGGGTTTTGATACACAATTGCCTTTGAGAGAACAGAGCGTCGAAATTGTAAAAGTGGCGCTGATGTTCCGTTGCGGGCATACACAAAAATCTCAGTCATTTCCTTTCCTTAATGTCTATTATTATCTTGTTTGGTTCTTCTCACAAGTTCATAATAGAATAGAAAGGTCTGATACATATCTCTCGTTCTACTTGAATATTATTTTGTGATTCACCAAAAAAAAAAAATTATTATTATTTTTGTGTACGGCCGTTCCAATGGGTTCTCGCTTTGATTTAGAAAGAATAGTTTGCGGGGACTCAATTTCACCCGGCCAATAGTTGGGATTTTCTGGGGCAGCTTCAAGGTTTTGCATGTTTTTCCCTCATGTATTAATTCAGAGAACTGCCCTAAATTTTTCTCTGTTTATTTCATATATTCTCGCTTAGGATTATTTGTTTTTTTACATGTTATTGTTCATAAATTCCTTTACGCGAATTTTTTTTTTCCGAACCAACAATTTTTTTTTTAAAGCAGTAGTGTTCACGTTGATCTAGGATTGAGGTTGAGAATATGGACAATAGGGAATAGAAAAGGAAAGAACAAAATTATTTTCTATTCATCTCACAATCTTCTGAACAAGGGCATTATGTTTCTTTAGACTTTTGACAAACAAATTATTGTTTTGCATAGATATTTAAGGGAGAGAAATGACCTTAAAAGAACTGCGACTTTAGACTACCAGCAGCTCATGAATTTACCTGCCAGAGGTTTCTTGAATAACAGGCCAACATGATTCAGATTGGTAATAACAAAAGATGTGTTATTACCGATAGATGTTTTATTATTGAGTGCTACTAAATGCAATGATATTAGTACCAAGAGTGTGAGAGATTTGACTAAATAGTCTATTTGTGTAAGTATAGTTTTTTTTTTTTTTTTTTTTTTTTTTTTTAAAGGGAAAATTTTATTAATAAATTACATAAATAGTTGTAGATGACCACAATTTGTGCTCGGCATAAATAAAATTGAGCAATCAAAACTCGTTACCTATACAGTCAATGGATAAAATTAGTAGAAAACTTGTCACCTATATAGTCATGATAAAATCAGTAGATCGAGACTAAATCCATCCGATACTTAAAATCAAATTTAAATGTAAAAAAACACACTAAAATCAAATTTAAATGTAAACAAACACACATTGACAACCAACTCACACTCAAATCTATATACCGAAAATCTTTTTTTTTTTCTCAGGAACTATGCATTAGCAATAGCATTTTGCTCTTCCGAAGGAGGCATCGTAAAGTAAGGGTCCTTTTGAACTTCAACTTTTTGATGTTAGGGAATCGGGAGTTGGATATCTCAAATTTTAGGAAGTACAATCTGACAAAAGAGATGGTTTCTTCCTATCATTCAATAGCAAGATCAAGGATGAAAATATCCATATTAATAGAATTATGGTTGGTTAGATTTTATAGAAATATTCATATAGATAGAACTTGACGTAAAATTTATGAACCATACAAAAATTAACAACGGCCCCCTTCCATTTTTAAGGGTACCTGACAACTGTGAAGGTAACATTTTACACATGATATAATTATTTTTAGCAATAGGTGTTTGCTATTGGAGGCGGCCGGCAACCATTGGTGGCTTTAGCTTCTTATATTACATTTTTGGGCACCACTAGGTATACTTTTTTAGTTATCAAAGCAAGCTTGGGGTAATGGTAATTGACTTCCTTTTAATAGCTATTAAGAGAGCAGAGAATGAGGAAGAAGTGTGCTGATCAATACATCAATGAGAAGAAGATGGTCGTATATGGATTTTTAGCTGGCGTAAGTAAGGTTTCAGAGCCTGATTTGAATGCCTTTCTGGACAAAGAGCGAACCATCTCTTTGTTAGCTTGGGCTAATAATTGTTGACTGGATTTGGTTCAAAGTAACAAACACGTATTCTTCCCAAGAACCTTTGGTTTAAGGGAGAAAGAAGAAATATGTTAAAACTTGAGATGAATTAAAATTAATAGGTTAATAGTTTACATAAGTTAATAAATATGTTAAATTACTGTTTTTGTCCATAACTTGTCTGGTTATGAATTATAACTTGACAAGTTATTGTCCATAATTCACGGTTTTTATCCATAACTTGTCTGACTATGAATCATAACTTGACAAGTTTGTCCATAACTTATCTGATTATAAATTATAACTTAACAAGTTATGACTTATTAATTTTTACAACTAAAAATTGGCCTATATACTTTTTTAAACTTTTTATATTGCTCTATTTTTTACTATTTTCGTTGGTTGGTTGGTTTAATGGCATAAGGAGGGGTTTGGGAAAGGCTTCGAGTGGGGTCGTGAGTTTGATTCCATTTGTAACTTTTATTTCTTATTTACAGGATGACACGTGCTATTATATGTTCTTTATTTTTTTTCTTAAAAAAAGGTCAAAATTTAGACCGATGAATATGTGATACTTAAAGCCAGATACGAGAATTCAATAATGGGATTGGCAATTGCTCGTTGTAAACTAAAAGCTCAAGTTCGCCAACACACTGATCTGACGCTTAAGGGACGCAATTACTCTTTTTATAGTGATTCATATATAAATGCGATGTGATTTCAAAAATAAATAAATAAACATAATTGGGTCACAAGATTCGTTTTTAATGATTTATGATGTGGTGTTGTCACGACTCTAAAGATAGGGTCGTGATTATTATGATATAATTAAAAAAAAAATTAATTAAATTAAATTAGATTAATTAAAGAAAATTCATGAAAATAAAATAAAATATATAAATGTCAAAATAGATATTAAAATATATTATTTCGGAGTCTTTTTTTTACAAATAATATTTAAAACAGTTCATAAAATTCAAGAAAAATAGTATAATTTTAGAACAATGTCGACCGATACAGTTTATATACAGAAATACAATACATCTCATAATTAAAAACTGTAAATTCGAAACAAACTAACCACTTCGAATCTCGCGCCTTCAATCCATTAACATCCACTCGTTATGTTATAAATCTAAACCGCTAACTATGGAGGGGGGTTTAAAACATTGAAAACAGAAGAAAAATGAGCGG